TGATAGCAAACTAATACCCCTATAATTATCGTACCCATTACGTACTACCTTTGTAGAGATTAGTACAATGATGGCTTCATTCCACACTGACGGGACATCCTCAATTTCCCATACCATTCTGAACAATCAGGTCAAAACCCTGGCGAGAATTTCGCCATCGTCTTTGAAATTGTGGGGGATAGATTGTCTGGGCCCGAAAACTTGTAGAGTTTCAACACTTAGAATCTTTTTCGGACCTCTGCTTAGTTTAGAAGGTTGGTACTGACCGACCATGGGGTTCTATATTTGATAATGTTGGAGTTGTTTGCCAGCTGAACTGCTTCTCACATTGCTTTGCTCAGCGTTTAAAGCATCTTTTGGGGCTGGTAATTGGAGAACCATCTGCTTGACAGACAGCCTCGCTAACACGATGCTTCTTGCTGCAGATGGCTCGGATGTGCTGGAACATCTTTCGACTGTTGCCAGATGTAGCTGCTGATTCAATTTCACACGCACGTTTTGATCACCATACATAAGGAAAAATGATCACAATGCTTAAATGATGTGGGTGGACTGCAGACATAATCATCGAAAAATAAGCTAACACATAACCTTAGATGTACATATAATAACCATTCATCTATTTTTAGAAGAATATCATAAATCCATTATGCAAATAGATTACAAAGAGACTTTTCAATACTGAACACGAACTGACCTCAGTTAGAGAAGTACTGAGAACCGGGGAGTATTGAACTGCTGTTTCGTCCTTGTTTGGGACTCTTCACATAATCCAATCAGGGAATGAATCAAGGACCAAGCACTCCCTAGTTTTCAGTGCTTCTCTAACTGAAGTCAATTCGTGGTCGAAATTGAAACCAACCGAATCCCCACAAACTAACATTTGAAAAGAGGCTTTTACTCATTTATTGTATAGCTATGGTCAGAGTTGGATAGAAGCTTATTTGCAGTAACCTCAGATTAGTAGAGTCGATTTTCATTTTTACGCCGAAAGTAGTACGATTCAAACCTGTGAGTTTTATTCTGTAATTATTCCCCTTTGTTATTTAGTTTGTTCAGTCTTTAATCTAACATGAAGACACTTTGTAATCGATCATTCAAAAACTATATTACTGACACATAACATATATTTCAGATAATCTACGGCTTCTGATTACGATGTTTAGCAATGGTAATTGGATTAACTGTCTAAATTTCTGCCACGTAAATCAATTACAACGTTTTGATCTGCCTGCTGTGTGTGGATTATACAGTTTTATATACTACTCACCGTCGGGAAGCAGTTCAGTCTTGCTAGTTGATCTTAATTAATGTTGGAACATTACCTGAAGTGGATAATTTTCTAAATAAAATAAATAACGATAGATGTAAATTCTTTCTGTCTGCTTGTTCACTGGTGACTGACTAACTATGGGATTAAGTTGTCTGAAGTTTTGGTGAGAAGTCGTGACAAGCAGGAATCCACTAAGTTGATTGTGAGGAAAACTACTCGCACTAGACACTGACTGACAATCGTGCTATGTATTGCCAGAAGTTACAATTCATGAACCATTCGATTTCATCCCAGTGGCTCCCATTGTAACCCAAATGCCTTGGGTTAGATCGTGCTTGTCAACTGCTGAAAATTACCAAACGAAAATGAAATGACTTTCCAGTACTCCATAATTTTCAATAATTCCCTAATGGAAATCAGTTCGTAATCAAACTGAAAAGCAATCAAATCCCTGCGAACAAGCACTTAGGTGTTTGAAAAAAAACTTGATTCTGTCGAAAACTTCACTTCCATCTCTTACTCCTGATAGTGTTAAGTCTTATGGCTGATTTGGAAGACGAGAACTTAAAATCAACAATCGATAAATTACTACTGTACGAAGAGGTGTGTCGACGACACTTTCAAAGTATGTCATGATGATACCGATTTAAAATGTATCTTACATGAATTTAATAATTGCCATACTTCCAATAAGTTCACAATAGAATTAGAAAATGAATCAGAACTATCCACAGAAAACCATTATGGAATAGTCAACTGACAAACATTTATAATTGGATATCCGTGAGTCAAAAAATGCTCTCATGATTTCACTGGCCTACCATATCAGAAGGATTTACACCACAGACTGTTTAGAAGAACTGCTCTCATTCAAAAAAATATATCCTGGCTCCAAATGGATATCTGGCATTTTTCGTGGAGAAAATAAAACCAATGCCGAAATAAGAAGAATTCAGTCCACTGTCAAAGAAAATACTGTGTACGCATGTAGACTTCAGGTGAGACTAAGTGGCAGATATCCTAATGGGGAGGATCTCCAGTTCCCTTAAGAAGACCTTTCCTGTAAAAAAACTAAGACTGATGTTCTCTAACCTCCCACTGCTTCTGAGCAATATGAAAGACAAACTGTCACATGTGACCACACCAATGTCCATATGTCAATTCACCAGTTCCTGTGGAGCTAAGTACATAGGTTGTTCTTCGTGCGGTTTATACAAAACATGTCAGAGAACATTATTCAGCATGGCTGCAAAGAGGAGCTAGTGGTTCAATCAGTAGCGCCATAATTGAACACCTTGTCGACCCCTGTCACAGCACCTTGACTGGGTCATCATTCAAAGTCAAAACAAAAGCCTACCAAAGGTAATGTTTTCCAACTTTTTGTACTGCAGAATCACTCTCCATAAACATCAAAAAGCCGGAGTTAGGTGTTCAAAAGAAATAAATTCAAATTCTACATTTACCATGGGTCAAATTGGACTTGACTCCTTATTTTTCGCTTTTCTCTACTGTTTTTTTTCATTCTCTTCACTTTCCTCATCTTCAGTTTTCATACTCATCACCTTCATACATGTATTCGTAAAAACTACTTTGCATCTTAATCAACTACTTCCTGATACTGTGTAATTTTGTTTCTAAGCCCGTTGTATATTTGTTGTATCTATATTTACACATTCGAACTTTCATATCAAGTCGAAAACTATCATCACATTTAGTCTCCCTCGTTGATTTGTGAAATTAAATAATAACTGTATCTATGTAAACTTATACATATATATTATTTATTTTCTCATTTTATTCCTTTACATTCCAAGTGGAACATAGGGCTTCAAGGTAGAGCTCTGAAGTTCCGCTAGCAGTGGTATTTATTTTTACAGGATGCGGTTGTCAGCCTTATTCCCAACATTTCCTAGTCTTTTTACTAGCTTAGCGAAGTGAAGGAGTGAGTCGGCCGTCGATCGAACCCCTAACCACCTGAGTGGTTGACGAGCATCCTACCGCTGTGTTCCCTACGCACATATATATATATATATGTATAAATGCAACTGAATAGCATATGAGGATGAAACCGCCGAAAAGACCTCTTATTTGTCGAGGTTCTTTTTCTTTTCTCTCTAATGCCCTGATGGATATTTTCCATGATTACTGCTAAATACCAGGAATTCACCTTAGGAGTCAACAAATAAACAGGTTGGATTAATTCACCACTATCAAGGCAAATCTAATCTAAATCCTGTCAAAGAGATAAAGTCAAAGAAAAGAACAAAAACGGTAACGTCATTTTTCTTATCTGGTAGTATTATATGTATATATATATGTCATAATGTGTAAGTGATAAAAGAAGAAAAGTTTAAAACATTGAACATGCTTTACTAAAATACTTAGATAAAAACTCGAAGAAATGTAAAAACTGATGTTCGATAGGTCGGCTTTTAAAAGAAAGTTTATATATATATATCTTAAATATGTATATGATAGAAGAAAGAAATGGTTTCAATCCTTATTGGCACTATTAACAAGGTTATTTGTTTGTTTTTCTATTGAGTGCTTAATCTGTTTCCCCTTATTTTAATTACATAATAGGTAATATAAAGAAAAATAGGGAAAAAATATAGTTCAATGTGTCTAGTAGTAATAGTAGTTTACCTTTCTGTGTTTAAAATAAAAATAAGCAAGATGAAGTTCTGCTGTACGCTGGAATGGTATCATGTGGAGGAGAAGGAGGAGATATTAAGTATAAAGGTTGTAACTCAATGGCCCCAAAATCTAAAAATTTTCACTATTAATATATATATATACGTATTTGTTATGCACTATTTATATATGTATATATATGCAGATATATATATGTCTACTTTGATCAGTAGGTTAATTACATAAGAAGTAGGAAAGTTAGGTAACTATTGCTTTGTTTTAATCAAAGGGTATATAATTGAAAAATCTAAGTATGTAAGTAGATTGATAGATAAGTAGATCGTCATTATATGATGAATCAGGATATGACTGATTGTAATAATGGTAGTAATAATAATAATAATATGAAATGATAGGGAAAGAAGAAATAGATATGTGTTTGCATTAGATCTTTTTTGCTGATGATATCTTGAATTATTGACTTCACTCTATGTATACAAATCTAACTGAACTGCTAACATTAGGGCAAACTAAAATAACTTTTTTTTAAAGAATGAATGCAACTGAATAGTGAAAACTACTTTACAAACGGAAGAAGAAATTAAATGCAATGCTGGTTATATTTGAGGAATAAGAGAAGGAAGAATAAGAAGAGGAAGAAGAAAAAAAGAAGAGAAACAGGTGAAGAAAATGGAAGATATTCAAAGTTTTGGTCATTTGCTACTTTAACTGACCGAAGTAACATCATAAAATGTATAGATATTTGTATAGTATATGTATATACTGGAGGCATAGATTAGAAATCTCATATAAAAATAACGTGAAGTTGGTTGTATTTTAACAATTTTTTATTTTAATTTGTTTTAATTGCATTGTTTTTATTTGGAGGTTATTACAAAAATATGTATTTATGTATGTATGTATATATTTGTGAGTATGTATATGTTTACGTGTATGTTAGCAGTTAAAATTCCCCAGTTTTCTTTTAAACAAAACATTTTACATGTTTTCTGTATATGAATGAGCATTTTATTTGAAAAAAACAGCTTTCTGTCTCTTTATTTTATTTACTTGTAAAGCATTTGATCTATTGCTATCTTCTTGTGGAATGTGGTGAGCCAAGATTACGATTCGAGGACATTGTTCCGTCATTTGTCTTGCCTATACTTGGTTGTGTTGATTTCACTTCTTGAGATGATTTAGATTTCGCTCGATTGGGTCGTTCACTGTTATTACTGTTTTCATTATTACCATTATTATGACGACTGGTACGGCTGATAGGCTTTTCAGTTTTTGTTTCTGTTAACTTACTACCTTTATTGATTTTTGAATCATCACAAGGTGCAGACGATGATGATGACATTGGTAGGCCTTTCTGTTGAGGATTATGCTGATGTTGATGATGGTGATGATGATGATGTGCATTCGATGCTATCATTCCAAATAGTTTATACCAGCCGAAAACAACAGTTTTTAAGTCTAGATCATCTAGTACAATTTCACACATTCCTAAAAATACCTTCTTATCCATACGGCCATACTCACCCCATACACTTACCTAAAATGTAACAAAAATAAAACCATAAGAACGTAAATGGACGAAACAAAACGCATAATACAATTAAAACAAAGAATTGTGTTATTACTGCATCAGAGAAGAACTGATGCTCTGATTGATGACAGAACTCGATATTGAACACTTCAGTAAGGAGTTAGACTAATTCGTCAGCACTTAACTCGTATTTTCAAGTTCCGTGATTGTCTATGTACAATATATACCCATTTAAAAGTCACCAGAATAGAGTTAAACAATTTTGAGTTGCGTATTTAGGCTTTAGTGTGTGATTAACACAAGCCCCAAAGAGAATTCAAGTTGAAATTCATCTATATTTCCAACGTATTCAAACTGTAAACATTGCAAATGTATGAAAACAGCTCATTGAAATGCCTTTTCTGTTGAGGTACATTTGAAGAAACAAAATACCTGATGTCGAGTGACAGATTTTTAAGGGAAAATACAGCAAGTATAAAATTACAGATTGGTTTGTCATTTAAAGCTTGATATTTTAGATTTTATTATCTGATTTAAAATGTCAAATATTGGTTTGCAGGGATCTGCTTGATTCCAAGTCTGATGCATGGAGAGATCCATTGGAAACGAGAGAGTATTGGTAAGATGTTTAGTCCTCGTTTGGGTCTGTTTATTAGTATACATATATGACCCCACCGTCAATCGAAACTGGGACTTTCATGTTACAAGGCGAGCTCGTATACAACAGGGACAGAATCCAATGGCCCACCAAATCCAACTTCTGACAATTCGCCACATGTAGCTTAACGGGCAGCCAGCATTAATAGTGAGTATTTTTCCTGACAGTGGTCACCACTTCTTACCATAGACTTAAGGCAACTTAAGCCTGAAAATCATTTACGGTTATTGATCGTTACAATGTGAACTGATTTATCCCCTTGAGATGACATTTTGCTCAACTACTATTTGCATTGACACGCATTTGACAATGAGTGACACCTGTTTTATAAGGGCTCATAATACTATCTTGTCGCCCAAACCAATCTAGGGGGGGGGGGAGGCTGAATTCGAACCGATGATTTATTGGAGGTGCCTTGATCTCCTGGACTTTCTTGGCTATTGAAAACTAAATAAAGAATAACCACTTTATCAAAATGTAAATGCAATGTAGTGTTTCTGATAGGACAATATTCATTTTCTGTCTTATTTAGTTCGTTTTAAACACAAATTATTTTACTATTCAACCTTGTCATTAATTAAAAATTGATTTCTTATCACTCCCTGCTAAGTGATAACTTTAGTTGTGGAATTGTTGTAAGGGAAGCTATGATGCCACATTGTAAAAGTAGAAGAGAATATTAGGAAGTAACGCGTTCGATAAGGGACAATTGGCTCGGTCAGAGAATTGACAATCTTGAGGCCAACTTCGGAAATATTCATGGGTGTATACCATTGTCAATTTCCAATTTGAAAGGAGATACTCTTTTAACGCTCTGTCGTCTTCTGTACTTCTGTAGTTGGTGTTAGTTCGAGATTTCGCTGTCTTACCCAGACATAGTAGCTGTGCTAAGAAACAGTGAGTGCTATTAGGTACCAGTTAGTTTCTGGTTACAGGAGATCGGAAGTCATATAAGGTCGATGTAAACATCACATCCAAGAAAATATTTTAAGCTATCAGCTGTCAGTCAGAGTGAGAGATAATGTTGGATGCAGTCTCATACATTACGAAAGCTAACTAGTTGCCACTTTCAGGTTATTGTGATTTTTATGTCATACTTATTCAATTATGAAGTATAATGGTAACTCATTTCTGAGTACTTCGTGAAAAAAGATTTGTACCTTACGTCTAAACCGTTAAGATTTCCAGAAAGACAAATGGTATGACAAGTCAGGTTGGTTATGCTAGAGATGACTTATAATGAAAAAAAACAAATACAGCACAAAGAATATTTCACTGCATAGTAGAAAAATGCAACAAATAATGTTTAGTATATTCCAGAATAATGAATATTACTCACTTGTAGAATTTTTCCATGATATGGTACTGAAAAAGAAAGTTGTTGTTGGTAAAGTGGATCTAGTGTACGTCTTGGCGGATACATAGTTCTTAATTTCTCTACTGACTGTTTACCTTCCAGTAAATGAAGTTTAACATATGGAGCTGGAAGCGGTTTAGCTGTATTCTTCTGTTGTAAACCTCTGGCACGAATAACTTCAACTTCTAAATGACCTTTACGATCATAAAAGCTTAGTTGTATTTCTCCAAGACAAGGCATTCCAAGTACTTGTCGACCGACTAGTTGACCAGGACCAAGACCTTCTACAAATTCTCCAACATGTGATTCATTACGTCCCATATAAATACTGTTCAAAGAAATATATAATTTTAATGATAAACATTAGTAAACTTATTAGTATATAAGTTACATAAAACGTTGAGAAAAAGGTATAAAACGTATATCCAATAGAATACATCGCACTGATCAAGGCATTCTACTAGAAATCATGCAGACAGGTGGAAGCCCATGGAGAGCTGTCATCTGAAGTGGTGACGACCAGTGGTGTCCATCAGGGATATACCAATGGAATTAATCCTAGCTGATTTCAGTGATTCAGGGATTGACTTGCTACCAGGGGATGACCTCGTTGACTTAAAATATGCAGATGATATAGTCGTTCTAGGTGAAGACGCTAATAAAATGCAGAGTCTTCTGAGCACCTTAAACTGAGCAGTAATCTTCGAATGTTTGGCATGTTATTCGCTCCCGTCAAATGTACGATGATGCTACAGAACTGGACTACAACGACTACTCATAGCTTAAAGACAGGAAGTGAAGTGGTAGAGATTGTTGACCACTTCACTTAATTGGGGAGATACATCAGCCAGTGTCAGCGGGCTGATCGCTGACGAAACCTCAGCATCGATAGAGAAAGCTCGTTTAGCATATGCCAACTCACGCCATCACTGGTGCAGACGTGATATCCAAATGGGTGTCGACCACAGGGCTTGTATACTACTCAGCATTTCTCTCCGTCCTCTTTTATGGCTGTGAGCGAAACATGGCCACTGAAAATGGAAGACATGAAAAGGCTAGCTGTCTTTGATCATAGGTGTCTGTGTTCTATCTCCGGTTTTCAGTGGTACAATAGGGTGCACAATATTGATGTTAGGAATTGGTCGAGTGTAAGGTAGGTAGGGGAAATCAATCGACGAGGTTGTAGAGTTAAATCGATTGAGATGGTTAGGAAATGTGTTAAGTATGCCTAGCCATCGCCTTCCTCGACAGGCTATGTTAGTTGCTGACATAGGATCAGATTGGAAAAGAGCCAGTGGTAGTCAAACCAAATCATAGCTTCATCAGTCAATGAAATCCACAGCAGTTAGTTTAAGTCAGCCACGTAGGGAGGTGTAGACTGCTAGTCTGGTTGGGATCCTCGGGATGGTATAAATCAATGTCTGGAGACATTTTGTGGTATGGGTCAAAATCGTTCTCGGTGGTGGTGCAGATGCGTTTTGTTTGTCTGTCTGTCTGGTTTCAACACAGAACTTTGCATCGGTGTGCGGCAGTTCGAGTCGCCACACTTCACTCAGCACTCACTTTTTATGATTTATAATATCCAATAAAAATTTATTGTTCCTCCATGTTACTGTTCTTTTTGCCTCATATTTCTGTTTATTATCTCTCTCTCTCTTTTGAATCTCTCTTTACTCTCTTCTCTTGGTTTGTGTGCTACATTGAGGGCGAATGTCAACTCGAACTGCTGCACATCTGTGCAAAGTTCTACGTTGAAACCAGTCAGTCACACTCAAGTAAAACACAATTCAGTCTTAGTACTACATTTTCCTTCCTTCACAAACAGTAATTACTATTCGTCCAACTTCACATTTGTTCCATATGACAGTATCTACTGTTAGGCTTTCTAAAGTATAATCGGTTCACATTTGCTAGTTAGTGAGAACTCAGTAGTCCAAAGTGATTTTCCATATACCAAGCTATGTGAACCACAGTTATTACGTGAGGACTGGTGATACTACACAGTTGCCTAGGCTGAAGTAGATGGAATGGAATTTGAATCCAGGACCTACTGGCTTCGGTGAATAGATCCTTTAGATCAGGATAGTATGCTTAATGTTTTACTTGAGTGACTTCCGACTACTCAAATTAATCAGTAGTATGTACAAATTAGTAAAATATTGTGTAGTTAAGGCATGAAAAAGTTTTTCATTACACCTGTTTTCTCTTAAAGTCTCCCTGCTCTTAAAAGAGTAAGAATCATTAATGTAAGTATAGAACTTGGGCACTGTGGTAGAATGTAATTGCTGTGAAAACTATAAAACAAGCATCTAAAGAAAATGATTGACAACTTTGGATTCTACAAGAGATCCGTGGACGACACCTTCATTATCTCCAACAATCAGGAGAATTTGGATAACATCTTGAACTTTTTCAATAGCTGCCATCCAGCAATCCAGTTCACACTAGAGAATGAAACCGACACAGAATATCTTTTCTGGACGTCCAATTAACAAAACGTGAACAGGATGGAACAATAAAAATAGACATCTACAAAAAGTCGACGTAGGATGGACAACTTACTAACTTTCACAGTTGGGTGCCCCTATATACACTGGTAGCATTTTCAACCCTGATACTATAGAAGAGGATTTAAACACTCTGAAGGCAATCTTCCCAGAAAACGGCTACCCAGAACTTCTTATCACAAAATCTATGAAACGTAAACCGCTAAAACCCTCCACACTCTCTGCTCCTAAAATCTTCTTTACCTGAACCTAAAATTCAATAATGATTCATCAGCAGAAATACTGAGAAACCACCTGTCCCGCTCACTGAAAAAAACCTTCACGGATGAACTCCGACTAACCTTCTCTACGAATTAATGGTTTGCATGAACGTGAAGGATAAGCTACCACTGTTGGCCTCATCAGTGTGTATTTACCAATTCACCTGCTCGTGTGGAGCTAGGTATATCGGCCGTACCCAGCGTCAACTATCTAAACGTATCATCGAACACTTATCCTCATGATTTCAAAAAGGAGAAGAGAGGTCCTCTCGAAGCTCTATTCTGGAACACATGTTCGAATAGAAGCACCAAGCAAACCCGCAAAGTAACTTCAAAGTCATCTACAGAATACGTGGGAATCTTGTTAAAAGAGCACGAATCAGACTTCTTCAAACCGCAGAAACAATGGCAGTTCACATATTAAAGCCCGAACTCTGCATACAAAAGTTTGTTCAGTCATTAAATATACAATGAACCTGACCTATCTTAATACCAAATACGTAGTTTTTGTTTCATCTGTTTCTTGCTTGTCTGTTTCTTAATTGTATAATATTTTCCCCACCCCTTATTACCACTGTTGTTAACCTGACTTTTGTTCACTTTTAATTGTAGCTGAGCTCTACTCAACTCCGTCAATTAGATGACGTCACTCAAGTTGCTTATTTAATCTTACTTTGGTTTCTAACCAATTAACGAAGTTTGTTATCTAAAACTTACAATTCTAACAATTTTATTTTAGTTTCTACCCGATTAACGTTCTCTACGTTACGTAATTTTTTAACTAAAATTTACAATTTTAATGACAAATCTTTGAAATATGCATTTTGTTGCTAAGACAATTAACCATATGTATGCGATCATACAGCTTGAGAATGATATCACCGAAAAGAGTAACTCTTCACAGTGCGCCATGATGGCTGACCACATTACAAGCTTGACTGATATAATTCAGTCTGCACTGAAGATAGGACTAGACATATTACACTAGTTACCGACTAGTGTATAATCTAAAATATCCTGTACAGTCCTACAGGAGGTAAATGTCAAGTCTGAATAGCTCAGTGATAACGTCTCTGACTGCAGGTGACGCGGGTTCGAATCTCAGAGGGGACATGAGTTCCTTCAAGACTGAAGATACGCCTTGCTGACTGGTGAGTGCCAACTAGCACGAAACATAGTTCAAGCAAGGCTTCCTATTGATTGCCTCCAGCCATCTAACACCAACAAGAGTAACTCTTCGCTGAACGTCTTTTCTTTTATATGACTCAATGGGAGCAAATAACTGCAAATAACACAGCAATAAAGTCTCTGACTTAAAAAGTGAGTAACTGAAGCTCAAATTTGGAAAGGCATAGTTTTCTCAGCATTGCATATATACCGACAAACATCAAACTTCTATTTGAAATTTGATGCTGAATAAGTCGTAATACTTATTGCAATCTTTGTGGACAAATCACTAAAAAAACAGCCCAGAAATCACCTACCTGTCTTGATCTGTGTTGTCTGAATTTGTACCGCATCGAGGATTTTGGCCATCACTTTTTCCACTGCCTATACTAAGCTGACGATGCATCATTGATGATCTTCCGTTTCCAAATGAACCCTCCTGTTCCTGTCCTTCAAAAATTGCACCGTATCCACCAAATGGTAATACTTCTTCACTCCTTTGGAAGCTTGTTCTTGACTTTTTGTCTAAAAGTGAAATATTGTAACATATTAAGGTTGTTCTAAGAAATATTCTTTTGAGGGAACTTGATTAGTACTCAGCCAATAGTTAAAATATTAATACCCAAATTCTAAATTTTGTATTGCTGAAAAAAATCTTAAAAAACGGAGCCTTTCATAAACTCATCTTCAATAGGAAAGGAGACCATGGAAATGCTACATTCAGAACACAATCTTACCACTTTCTTTACCTATAAACCATATAATTCGGAGCTAATATAAATTACGGTGAAAGTCAACATTTCCTTTACTGTATGAATAACTGTAAGAGTTTCAAAAAACCTTATAACTAGGGTACATCATTTCAAAAATATAAGTATAAAAATATCAAGACTTATTAAAATAGTTTTGCTTACCAAGAGTTGAAGTACTGCTACTCTTGCTGGATCTTCCCAGAACATTTGAAAACTTTTGTCCTATATTAGGCCTTCTTTTTCTTCCATCCATTGGATCCCTTTCAACATTTTGAGCAATTTCAGAAGTTGATGCCTTATTTTCTCCTAAAGGTCGAGGACCTCGACCTCCAAGACTACCAGTTGAAGATGTCCCTTGACCAGAACCGCCCTCAGAACTTCCACTATCTTTGGGCATCATTCGTTCATCAGTTGAACCAGACATTTCTTTTTCTAAACGATTTGAATCTCTTCTCATTCTAACTGGTTGTTCATTCGATGGTGAAAAAGACTGGTCTAGCCTATCGGATTGTTTAGAATTTCGAGAGTATCGTTCACCATGAGACTGAGTAGGCGTTTCAAATTGTTGGTTAACTGAACGATGCATTTGTGCTGATTCTGTGCGTCGATGATCAGACGGTGTTGTATGCAAACTCATTTTAGAAAATTCAGAGAGATCAGAAAATTCTGAAGCATCTGACTGTATAGCATTTTCTTCTACTCTACCATATTCAAAATTTGGAGCACTAAAAGGTAAAAATAAACCTTAGGTAAGTTAAGTTATGAAAAGAGATTCCTTTCAATAAATAGCTTACTTACATCCTAGTCTGATGAAGGCATGTTAAAAAAAATATATTCACTTAACCAAAACTCACTAATGTTGTTCATGTTGAAACACCTCTTTTTCATAGGATCAGTCTTTTTAGTGGGTCTGGTTAAATTTTGATTTCACGAATAAGCTCTTAAAGTGCTCCCAGATATTGTCTCAAGTGTAAACTTTCTTGTTTTCAGTGTGTTCAGTACATTAAGACTGTGTTATTAGTAATGAAAAAATGAGACTGACGAAATTTAATAGCACTTATCTGAAACCCAGCTGATTAAAGGACAAGTAGGCAAAGAAGGCATGAGATAGACAGTGAGATTTAACATCCATTCAAATTTCAAGTTCTTAAAAATATTAAGACGTCAGAGAAGAGATCAGTTTTTGAAATAGTAGCTTGAGACGGATTCCTGTTTGCCTTTACGGTATACTTTCTATTACTTTAGACATACTCTTTGGTGGAACTCCCAGTATGATATACATAACATCAATGAATACATGGGTCAAGTGTGACCTTCTTAGGAACTTTAAGTGGTTCTTTTTAAAAAAAAATAGACTGTTGTTTAAAAATTATCAAGCAACAAATGTTAAATAAAGCAGGATTTAATGAATGCATCAAATTTCTTCAGGACTCTTCAGCCGAATGCTCTACATGCAACAATATGTTGAATCAATCATGCGAATTGACATGTGCAAATGTTTTATAGTTCAAGTTGAGACAGATAAGGCGACAGGATTATGGGAGATTAAATTTAGTTTATGATGTTTTAGGGTTCAGTTGGTTATCAGAAAAAGAATTTGAGAATATCAACGACTGCGAACTAAATAATAATAATGATAAAAAAAAGTTGATAGAATCGTACTCACAAAGGATAGTTTTAAATGAATCAATAGTAATAATAAAAGATGGAATAAAAAAATATTAATAGTAATAACAGATAATAAGTAAGGGATACTACAATAGGAGATTAAAAGTGACCACCATTTTTTTCTGAACATAGAGTCTAGGTTTATAAACTCTAACTGTGCAAGCCTCCTCAAATACAATCTTCTTTCTGTTTGTTTGTTTGTTCGACTGCTGATAACAGCGAACGACTTGACAGTGTAAATATCATATAAGTAGTGTATTAGAAGCTTAGTTATTATAATTTCCAGTACCTTGGCTTTAGCTTTTTTTTAACTATTAGGGCAAATGCTCTGTTACTCGAGTAGACGAGAGTATGTATATATATATATATATATATATGTATATATAAATACATATATATATTACTGATATTAGATGATTGGGGGGAATCAGCAGGAAGCCTTGCTTGACCTAGGTTTAGTACTAGTTGACACTCGTCAGCAAGGGATATATGTGTATATATATGTATATGTATATATGTATATATACATATATACATATATATAACAAGTAACAACTGTGGAAAAAGTATTTTAGTGAATTTTTGTAGGACCAGTCATTTGAAAACTCTAAATTCATTACTCATATGATTTTTCTAAGGTCAACATAAGTACAAACACATGAACATAGTGACAACAAACAAATATCAATTTCAAAAAAAATATACGATCTAGTAGCAATGAGTAAAACTCATTAAAGTACATATTAATATATAAAATAAAGTTATCCTGATAGAAATGGTACAACTATAAACAACTCAGGTTATTTGCCCCCAACGAATGACCAGCAAAATGACCCTGAACAATCCAACAGGTCAGCTCATAGTAAAAATGTACGAATATGAATGAAGTGCAAGAATTATGCTGCAAATTTCCTGCAGGTCTAATATTTCAGTACTGTCTGGATAAAATACTTACGGGAAGGGTTAAAACATGCATATACTGGACGGATATTGAATTTTCAGAGATATGTAGCTGCCGTTGGTGGATATGGAGTAGTTACAGGCAGTTGTCGTCCCTCGGCTACATTCATCACGGCGAATTCATGTTCAGCAATTGGTGTGGAGTAACACTAAGGACTCTTATGAAAAACTGGGAGACATTTTTATAGCACTGAAGAAATCACTACTCTATAACTAATTTAATTACTTACTTTGGTTTCCATAAAAAAGATTTCGAATTGTGATTTCTAATATGGACTCATCTGATAGATTGCTCATGGTCTTTTTGATAGCGGTTCTCTTGGGTCTCTATATTTTATTGGAACTAGAAACCATACATCAGATTCTTAATAAGGTTGAAATTATGGTGGCGTTTAAATCAACTGATCCACTCAAACACAAACTTTAGAGATTTAAGGATATGATAGGCCCAATTAGGACAAATAATATAATTTACCAAATACCATATAATGAATAGTAAGTAGGTCAGTTATATAGCTCAAACTAGTAGATTAGGGTTAGTAAAATTATCAAAACAATATAATTTAGCCTAAATTTCCATTTTCAGTAGCTTTGCTACTGGCAAGTAAAATATACGAGACTTAAGAGTGTGTCTGCCAGGAATCGGACCTAGACCTACTGTTTAATAGGCTGAATAATTTTGAAGAAAAAGGCGAAAGTTTAGACAGAAAGAAGATAATGTTAAGTGACCAGAAGAAATGTGAAGAGAGTGGCTATTAAACTGCAGGCAAGTCATTCAGTTTCTTGTTTTGAAAGGACTTTGATTATCTCTAAAATTATTATAGTACTCATTAAAGCCTGTTTTAAACCTCTTTAACTAGAAAGTAACCTTAAATGCGCGCATGTAGATTTTGCAGCAAATACCCACTGGTGAATGATCGTTGGTGATTGGTTTCAGCATGAACATGATTGAAGTCCATCAAGTTATAAGTGAGGATAAATAGTCACTGGCTGACATTGGCTGGCAGTCGCACTAAAATCACGAACTCATGGGCCATTAAGTCTGGTCCCAGTGGTTAAATGGTCTACGAGCTTGCTTTGTAAGCGGAAGAGCCTGGGTCCTGAACTCTGGTGGGTGAGTACTGTTGATGAGTCTCAAACTAGGACGAAACAGCCGTCCAGTAGTCCCTGTTGGTTTCCAATGGTTCTCTAACTGATATCAATACATGGTCAGATTTGAACCAAATCATATCCCTAAATACAGTTCCTGTTTCATGATCATTTAAACATAATAGAAAGGAAAAGCTAGAAACGTACCGATTGTTTTCAACTGGTAAATCACTTCTATTTATTTGTTTGTTTAATGCATTAAGCAGTGAATTTTTCCTTTTGTTACCTTGTATTTCAATTATTTTATTAGCATACTCAATATATAATTCCTTCAAATTTTGAGGAATTTCATCTACCGCATATTGTGTTTGTGAAATTTTCTCTTCCAATTGAATCATATGCGATTGGACAGATTCAATCTGTTGCAAGGCATATCGTTTAAGTGTCTTTGTATTCGGCCGCTTCTTACTTCGACAAACAGCTTTAATATATGATTTGAAATATTGATTATTCTCAATACAGTTTTCAATAAATTCTATTGTCGCTTTCGATCGAGCAAGCTTTACACGATACTTTAGATTAGCATTAAGTGCTTTCACTGGAACAGGTTGTTCACTTGATTTCAATAAGGTAAATACATGCATGACTTATTCGAATCACCAAAAGTATTTTTAAGTGAATAGATGTTGCTTTGTTTTTTCTAATAACTACCAATTTAGTCCGTACAGTTAGTTATATAGTCAGTGAGGCACAAGATGTTGTATGTATTAAGGTCAAACCAAATGGATTTAATTAGTCACTTGTCAAAATCTAACTCTGATTTGACCTAACAGTTTTCAAACCAATAATAATAATTGTGTTTGTGTGTTTACCGAAAGGTAAAAGGTCATCTGGTGATGAATTATACTCCATAGACTGGAAGTCATTGGAATACAGTCTGATAATAATAAAAATATGCAAAATGTTACGTAATACTGGGAAATGGACCAATAGTAATGCTTCAATCGGTCTAGGGGGAGTAAAGGTCGATGTCCATTATTACCTGTACACGTAATTAGGGATGCATGTGATTAATCCAGTATAATTCTGTCAGCTTGGACTTAAATTATGAAAGATTTTTCAGTATTGATTTTCCCCCAATCAAACTAATGAGTGTTTGCGATAGATAACGATGAATTTCAGTTGAAAGTCACATGCGTGTGGATTCCCTGTGTGATTTTATAACCACATGGGAATTATGTAAATTCTATTAGTTCTACGTTTAGATGTGTCCCCATAACTGCAATATGGATTGATTTGCCTGGTATCTTCTTTTATCTGATAACGAATTTTAGTCTCTTTTTCCTTCCCTATATAAAACAGTTAAATATAGACAGTCGTATGGATGGGAAGAATGGAAATGTTGGCTTAAATTTTCACGTGTTGGTTTTGCAGGGATTTGACCGATTTCAATTTATGTCAAGAACTGACACCAGTTACAGATCCAACGAAGGCTAGAGAGTACTGAACTGCTGCTTCGTCCTAGTCTGAGACTCTTCAGATCCAGGCATCCATGACCTGAACCATGAATCACTGACCATTCAGCCCCTGTGATAGAAAACAATGGCCAATAAATCCTAAGTTTTAGCAATTCACTTTGAATAGTGCTACTACTGTTGTCAATTCCTTGGTGTAACTTAGAATCGATCAAATCTCTACAAACCAATACTTGAGAATTTTTGAATGTCTTTTGACTCAACTGTGATAAAATGTTCATGATAAGGTATGTTTACTGGTGAAAAAAGGCGAACTGAGATAAAGGGCACCTATTTTTGTACAGTGTAGTAGTAGTTTATACTGTATGCCTTACACTGACTAATGCACAAATTTTTTTATTAATTTGTAGTTGTACAGCTCAGGTGGGTAGCATTTAAAAGCACTGATTCAGGGCGGTTAAGAACACTAGTTAGCAGACAGATAACTTTTGGTAACTTTACTTCAAAGTTATACAGTTATTTAGGGGTTCGTATGTACAATGTTAATTGACAACATCGGCCAGAGGTTACTGTTATCATGCAACAACTCAAGCTTTTTCTGTATAGGGGCTTAAATGCATGATTGAAATCAACCTTGTGACTCGTCTATATAGTGTGCTTCGTCATAGATAATGTTGGACATCTATTTCCGGGATCATTTGTATCCGGCGATTTTATTTGTTGTTGCAGCTACTTTAAGACATGTTCTGTAGCCCTAACCGATGGACCGATGGATCCTCCCTATGTACATATGTCCATAAATACATGTAAATTCATAAACACAATTAGATGTGACACTATCGTTCGGTTGCTGTAAGTCTTTACAAGACAGCATATATCTCGTTTTCTCTATGAAGATAAGTTTAGTTTCATAGTGTGAGTCGGTAGCACAGTGGTTAGGACTCTCGCTGACCATGCACATAGTCCGAGGTTAGATCCTCTGCCAACGTACACCCGATATCAATGGTCGACCTGCAAAACTGGTCTACCGATATCACATGCTGAAAATTCCATACTTGTACCAAAAATACGATGTGTAATCAAGCTATAATAAAAAAAGTTCTATTAATTGCAGCCTAGAGTCTTTGTTTGGTTGACAAGACTTTGTTGATCACCCCTGAACGGCAAGGACATGTAAACATCCTTTTTGGGAGCTGATTGTATTGGTAGAGTTCTTTGGTTGACACTTCCGTAACGCTCAATAAATCTCAGCGGGTAATTGTTATCTCAAAATATTTCAGTGAGGTGTTGTGTTTCTTCTTCAAAATCGCCGGATACAGTTGATCCCAGAAATGGATGTCCAACATCATCTATAGCGAAGCACATTATAGAGATGGGTCATAAGGTTGATTTCAATAATGCCTTTAAACCCTTATATAAAACAAGCTTGGGTCACATACTTAAATGCGTTCAAGCCTTTTTATTCCTTAATTTTGTAACCAGTTTTCAGTCCTTCATCCTCTTGTTTTCTATCAATAATTTCAAAATGATTATTCATCACTTAAGTAATTAATTCTCAACTCTCTCGATTATATAAGATTGTTGACAGCTTTTATAACTAACTGACAATAACCTGTGACCATTGTTGTTCATTAGCATTGTATGTATGAACCCCTTCAGTAAGTGTACAGCTTTGAAGAGAAGTTACGCGAAAAAATAGATCTTTTTTCAATTACATCACATGGAAATATTTCACACCAATTCAGGGTAAAAAAACCAAAGACCCCACTAGTTAATATTATTCACGTAACTTCTGAGTCGGTTGTTCAGTGATACCTAGGTATTATCGGTTCAGTTCCTACCGACACATCGCTAAACTGAACCTAGCCGATAGTAAGCACAGCAAGAGGAAGGGTTTAGCGTAAACCTAGTAACTTTACGTCATAAAAGAAAACACCAACTGGAGCCTTATGTTCAAATTAGGGTGCAAAAGAATGAAAAAAGTTACAGACTAAGTGATTCTTCTTAGGGCAGATCAAACGTCATGTTACTAGTATTTTATTGGCTAATCAATAATTCTTTGGTATTAAACTTGACCATTTTTATATAATTATTTGTCTGTGTGTGTGTGTACATGAGGTTTTTCAAGTTTAGGTAATTGATCAGGTAATACAAGAATGATCTAATATAGAAACAAAGTCAATCAGACAGCAACTAAAGTAAGATTGAGTTAGTAAGTTAGGTGACGTGTGGAGCCAGGTATGTTGGCCGTACCCAGCGCTCGCTTTCCAAACGTATCACCGAACACTTACCAACATGGTTTTACAAAGGAGAAAATCGATGCCCAAGCAGTTACATCTTAGAACATCTGATAGAATCCGGACACCAAGCCACACCGCAAACAAACTTCAAAGTCGTCTACAGAGTAAGAAGTGGTCTTCCTAAAGGTGTACGAATCAGACTTCTTCAATATGCAGAAGCGATGGCGATTCCCTTGCTAAGTCCTGAACTCTGCATACAGAAGAAGTTCGTTCAATCACTACACTTGCAATGGACGCAATCTATCTTATTAGCCGACAAGTAAATTCTACCTAATCTTTTATTTTTTTCTGTCTCTTCATTAGTATTATTTTGTCTCCTCTATTGTAATATTTTACATTTTCAAATTTCTTGTTCTCTACCCCCACCCGATTCAATTTCTGCACCTCACTACCACTGTTACTGACTTGAACAACGCTCAATTTTCTAGTCATTTATGTTACGTCATCCAACTTATTTGCTCAATTTCACTTCTACTTAGTCTCTACCTGCAATTACCTCTGTTGCTACCCTGATCAAAGCTGAAACATTTTAGTCAATTATATTACGTCACCTAACTTACTGACTCAGTCTTACTTTAGTTGCTGTCTGATTAACTTTGTTTCTATATTAGATCATTCTTGTATTACCTGATCAATTATCTAAACTTGACAAACCTCATGTACACACACACTGCGTCGGTGGCTCAGCAGTTAGGACTCTCGCCGACCATGTACATGGTCCGGGGTTCGACGCCCTGTCGAAGCACACCCAATATCAATGGTCAGCCTGCAGAATTTGGGCTACCGATATCACATGCTGAAAATTCCATACCTGTACCGAAAATACGGTGTGGAATCAAGCTATAATCAGAATATATATATGTATATATATATAAATGCGATTGTACAGCTATGTGAATGAATTCGTCGAAAAGAGTCTCTTCGCTGAACGTCTTCTATTTTTCATATGACCCAATGGGGATTTTCAAGCTACCCAAGCGTTGACCATTTTTGTCTGTATAGAATATATAACTATATTTTTAATGATTTTTACGTCTAAATTTTTGAGTATTTTCTTCGCCAGCACGTTGTCAGTAGTGAGCTACCGGGATCCAAGTAAACACTACCTACTACTACGGTGATTCGAAGTATGATCTGGATAGGGTACTTGCTAATTTTGTGATCCACTGACTATGAAGGTTGGTGTATTACTCAAATATATCATCACTATTCATTTATATTATCTTGAAAATAAGCAAATAACTTCTGTTCCTTTAATCATCATTAACACTACTGTCTAAAATGATTGCATACAGTAATTTCTGATAGATTTTAGGCAGATATTTATACAAATGATAGACGTTGAGAAATAGGAAATACAGTAGTTCAGTGGTGCCTTATTTTCTACTTTTAGTTCAACAAAACTAAGCTGTGACATTTAAACTCATTATTGAATGACTTCAAAAAATCAAATGTTAAATACAATATAATGTAATTTCTCATCGTAGATGGTTGGTTTTACCGCAAGCTTAATAGATGAACGTCAACCACTATTTGGGATCCAATAGTTCCGTTGGTTATCATCTTGTAATCATTAGTTTGGACACAATTTCTGTTTGTTCATGTACTGATTGTTTTATCAGTCTTTAATTTGAGTGATAGATTACTCCATTTTAAATTTCAGAAGTGGAACATAGGGCTTCAAGCTAGAGGCTTGAAGTTATGGTAGCAATGGTGTTTATTTTTATGGGATGGGGTTGCTAGCTCAATGATCAACCTCCCCCTCTTTACCAGTCTTATTACTGGCTTAGTGAGGCGAAGGAGCGCGTCACCTGGGGATCGAACCCTGGACGACATGCGAGGTTGACGGGCACTCTACCGCTGTGCCACTTACGTCTAATTGATGGTGTATGCTGAACTAAATCTGGTAACGTTAGGACTTTCAGCAGCAAAGCAGTCATCATCCTTCGAGTCATTACAGAGAACATGCATCCTAATACTGGTTTGTGTAGTTGGGTAATATTTACACCTAGAGACAATGAGTTTCAAAAAGTTAAGAATCGATACTCAGGTTTTCCTTCAGACTGATTTTAACTATCCATTATTAGTTCTTACCGGACTATTTCGATATAGAGAATTTTAAAACTGATTTTGATAAATTAGGCATAGAGAAACCACTTTAATTACATGTAATTTTTAAAGACATATATATGAAGAACATACTTTGGATTACGTCTTGAACTTCGATGACGTTCTTCATTTCCTCTTTGTTGATATTCCTGTCCAGTAGGTTTTCTATTCTGTCTTATATTGCTAGCAAATCTTTGTTCATCAATATCCGAGTAATCATCACGTCGAATTTCATTTCGATTGCCTCTTGTTAATCGTTGTTTTGATAGAATCTCATCAGGAATATTTGAATCTTGATATACAGATCTAGGTGACCATTGTTCTGGTTCACAGTATCTTGGTTTAATCAACTTTTCTGGAATTTCTATAGGATGAATAAAGATTTAAATAGAAATATAAGGTTATTATAAAAAAAACATCTCATAATCTTATTGTTCTATTCCAGTAGTTTTAGCGTTGGGTCAGTCTTTCAAGATCATCAATTCAGAAGAATAGTCACTCGTCTTAGATTAAAGAAAACTGCTTGAAATACTAGTGAACAATGTAAGTTAAGCGTCTGTTTCAAATTAAATTACTGAAAAGGAATGTTTAGATATACATGATTTAGTGAGGACCGTATGTAAATCACTGAGTCGTTTAAGTCCACAATGAATATATTAAATGAAGTTATTAATTATTAGATTACAAACAACAACAATTTGGTTTGAATATTTGATGAATTAATGGACCACTTCACTTCCACAATTTTTTCTAAAATTTTATTTCTTCACATTCCGAGTGGAACATAGGTCTTCAAGCTAGAGCTATGAAGTTTCGATAGCAGTGGTGTTTATTTTTACTGGGTGGGGTTGCTAGCCTCATGTCCAGCCTTCCCTCTTTACCGGTCTTGTTACTGACTTAGTGAGGTTAGTGAGTGCGTCGGCCGGAGATCGAACCCTGGAACAACTTAGCAGTTGGCGAGCATCCTACCTTTGTGCCACCAATGCAGTCAGCAGGAAGTCCTGCTTAGGCAAAGGTTCCATGCTTCTTGGCACTCACCAGTCAGCGAGGCGTATCTGCGACGTTGAAGGAGCTCACATAACTTCTGAGATTGGGACCCGTGTCACCCAATGCTGCAATCAGAGACGTTACCACTGAGCTATTCAGGCTCTCCATAATTTTACAAATATGTAATAATTAAAAAAGGATTTTTAAGAGTCACCAAGTAGGGATTTGACTTCAATTTTGATCATGGATCGACTCTTTAAAATTAATCTGAAGTTGGCCAGTGAGTGGTTGCAGAAAGAAGTTCCTTAGAGTTCTAGTAAGAAGTCGTAACCAGTGGGCTCCACCAGGACGGACTTGACTGGTCGGTGGTCGCGCTAAAATCATGAATTGGTAGAAGTTAAAATTCATGGGTCATTATATCAGGTCTCAGTGGCTGATTGGTTTACGAGCTTGTTTCGTAACCAGAAGGTTTGAAACCCGGTGGGTGAGTACTGCTGAAGGATCCCAAACAAGGACAAGGTGGCTCATATACACCTTGGGTTTCAATGATTACCTGACTGATCAAACTTAAAACATTTAAAAGGGATTCTTTTATGATTTAGTCTGAGCAGTGGAAAGACAGGAATATTGCAGAATTGAAATTTGTTACAAAATAGTTGTCCATTATCATGCGAAAATTTTCTGGAGGTTTGGGAACTGGAACTGTATACAAAAGCAAATATAAAATCAGAAATTACTTCCTGACTATTGGGTTCAGGCACCTAACTTAATATGTGTTCATTCTACAAAATTAGTTGGTGTAATTTGGTTAACACTCATAAAATAACACTATTTCAAAAACAAATCTAACTGAATTTTTATTAATTACAACGTAACCATAGTAGTATTTAAAAATTTAAAAGATAACATTTAGTATTGTAACAAACAGATATTCTTTTCATTCTTGATATAAATTAATGAACATTATTTAAACACTTTGGAGCCTTGACTTCTAACACTCATAAGGAAGCATAACACTGCATAATTTTATATCATAGAATAAACTGTAAGATTCACTTTATCTATATTATTAATACTACTTTATGTATCCCCAGCGTTTACCATGCTTTTGTATTTACTGAATGACTTCTTTGCTATACAGGCAACGTTTTACTTTCTGGTCTCTGAAAAGCTGGGTTTAGTCATTTTCATACGTACATAAAACAAACAAGGTTCTCCAATTATAATATGAATTTGTTAATCACTACGGGATTGTAAAAATGAAGCAAACTCATATGTAATTATGCTGGACGATGACTAGAACTGGAATCTAGGCTGTGTTTCGTCCCTTTTAGGACCCATCATCAAGACGCACCTGCATTTCCAATGAGTGATAATGTTCCCACTAAGACTGAAACCTAGTCCCCATTATTATAGACTCTAAGTGGCCTAGTGAATAACGCTTTGGCCTTTGAAATGATAGCTAGTGGGTTCGAGTTTCAGCGGGGGAACACTATCACTCTCTGGGGATTCAAGTACATCCAGATGACGGACGAAAAGAGCATCCTGGAGTTCACTTCTAGTCACCATTCATCAAAAATTACTTCAAGTAAATCCCCAGACATAGTCGAAGTACCCGTACTAGGAACCGACATTATCAGCAGAGGCCGAACATTTTTGTCCAACCAATCAATGAGAAAATCAAAACAAAAATACAAACACTCGCTGATTGTGACATTCTTAGTCATTTGTGTGAGGAATCTCCAAACAGTTTTAAACCTTTTTAAGTCAATGAAAATATTCAGATTTGAAATTTATTTCGTTACGTCATTTGTAATTAGCAGAAAATTTTGAAATAATTTGTTTAAATTCGTTTTAGAAGCATTATTCTAAGAGATTAGGCATACTAGAATTAATTTCCTGAGAGTTACACAAACACCTAACGGATTAATGTTCATAAGAACAAAATCTAGGGTTCAGCGGAATTCCCTAACAATTATCAGAATAGAATTTTAGTACTGTGATAGAATATAATTCTATATTAGATAGGTTTATTTGATATAACACACAGTGATACAGTATCGATAAGTGAATGACATTACCAGCACAATTTATTTATTGCCCATAATCCTATCAGTGTATACTTTATATTTGCAACCTTATCTTTTCATTTCTTTGCATTCCAAGTGGAACATAGGGCTTCAAGCTTGATCTGTGGAGTTTCAGTAGCCCTGGTATTATTCTTTAATACGGACTGAGATTGCTAGCTTTACGCACAACCTTCCTTCTTCACTGGTCTCACTACCGGCTAAGCAAGCTTAAGGAGTTCGTCTGTCTGAGATTGAACCCCAGATTACATGCGTGGTCGGTGAACCTTCTACCACAGAACCACTGACGCCACACATTTGACAGAACCCACGAACGAACCGGAGGCATTTAGATCTTCTAAACTGTTCCGCAGCCTCCAGGATACGAAATTCCTCCCTCTTATTTGTATTTATTGTTCTTATTTAGTCTTGCCATTATAAAAACCTTCTTAAGCCCTTTAGTTGGCAAGCTGTGAAGCATAGTGTTATTATTATGTCAAACGGGTCTTACACAGGATTCTTAGTAAGACTGTGATCAGAGTGGCATTTAAACCAACTAACTCACTCAGAGACAAACTTTATTGGCTTCAGGACCCAATAGACCCAATTACGGAAAATAATACAATTGAAAATGCATAAATATACAAGCTGATCTCTTTTCGTAACTACTCATTAAAGTTGTACAGTTATTTAGTGGTTTATATATTCAATTTTAGTATCGGCGAGATGAGCTAGTATTGACCTGCGTACAGCTTTATTTAGGCCTTTGCCAAACTAAGGTGAGTGGTGTTCAGAAATTCGACAATGGACTCGCCTGTTTGTATGCTCAGGGTAACTAGCTCCTCACGAGCAGTTAAACTGGTAAATACACATGGAAGAGGTGAAACAGGACAGTCTGTCTTTATTTCTTGAACTAAGTATTGGTTGGCTAGTGAAAATACAGCGTAACCTAGCTGCATTGAAAGTCCTTTTAACGGCCCTTCTCATACGTTGTGATAACATCTCGCTACTGACATCACCCGTGAATTGTAATCTTTCGAAGACTGATTTTTTGAGAACAGTGGGCACCACTGACTTTTTACTTTCTGAGTCCATGTGTTTGTTCATGAATTTAGTCGGATCTCGGTTTTCACCTAGTAGATCACGAATATGACCAAGTTCTTCGTTCAGTGTCAACAGATAACTTTAGCCTGGTGAAAAAGATATCTAACCATATTACTTTTGTATTGTAAAGGTATGCAATTCAAGAAGTGAGTAGATTGTTCAGTGGAATCAGGTTTTTGATGCAAACGTCTACATAGTGCTCCGTCTATTCGTTTAGTCATTAGGTTGTCCAAAAAGAATATATAGTCATTTTCTTCCTCTTCTTTAGTGAAGCTTATACAAGGATGTGCTTTGTTGAATTTATCCAATATGCCCTTAGTCTGCATTATGATGTGATTATGAGCAATAGTTTGTGCTCGAAACGTCATCAGTTAATATTACTTTAAACACTGTGTGATTTATCAAAATAAAATCTAATCCATAATGGAGTTATACTCTACCACAGTGCCCAAGTTTTATTGTTATGTCCTTAGTCTCTCTTTCTTTACAATTGTAAATGTATCATTGACATATCTGACATCAGGTCGACTCTAACAAAGCTTTAAAAGTTATTTATCAAATATCACGCCACCTCCTACATAGTCTACGAGTACGACTTCTACATACAACAGAGGCAGTTGGAATTCATTTGAACAAGCCAGATGTGTGTGTTGGAAAGAAACGTGTACAGCCCCTTCATTTGCCATGGCTAACAACATTATATGCACTAAGTTTTTCCCTTTCCCTTGTAACTATCTTTTGACTCAATTGAATTTGAGATTTTCCCGTCGGTTGATTGGACCGGAGTGCTTGGTCTCAGGTTGACATGTGAGAAATGCAGGTACATCCAGATGACGAGTCCAAAATAAGACGAAATGCCCATCCTGGATTCCACTGCTAGTCAACATCCACCAAGTAAATACTATCTTTTGACTTTGTTATTTTTTACAGTTCTGCCTAATTCTATCAACTTGCTTGTAGTTCACGTAATTCTACTGAGTCATCCTATTCTTCTTAGTCACCATTGCTATTTTACAAATTTTTTGATTGTACAATAACTTGTTGTTAACACCTGAGAATTAACTAACTTATCTTGAATTCCGTAACTAATTTTCACTCCTCCTTCAAAAGCTGAGATATCTTGTTAATAACATCTGTTAGGTAATTGTTCCGATGACCTTTAACCTCCTAATTTCACCTCGCTCCCCCCCCCCCACGAGAAAATGACTAACTAAAAAACCACTTGACTGGTAAAAAATTATGATGTAGAAAACTGTATATTAGTGTAGAGCCAATGATGCGGAACTAATTGGAAAGGAATGCATATTTTTATCGTTCAATCTGTTGGCTTTTCTATATACAATTTCAATTGACAACAAAGGTCAGAGGTTATTGTCAGTTAGTAACAAAATAAGTCAGATCGTATGTATAATAGTGTGTCGGTGGCGTAGTGGTTAGGACGCTTGCCGACCATGCACATGGTCCGGGGTTTGATCCCCGTCCGACGCACTCCTTTACCTCGTTAAGCCAGAAATAATGCTGGTGAAGAGGAAAGGTTGGGTATGAGGCTAGCAACCTCATCCTGCAAAATAAACACTGCTACAGAAACTTCAAGCCATTAGGTTGAAACCCTATGTTCCACTGGGAACGTGAAGGAAAAAGAAAAAAAGAAAAGTATGTATAATAACAGTGTGTGAAACAAAGTGAATAATCTTATGTAATCGAGATGGTGGAGAAGTAATTAGTTAAGTTTTCAAGAGTTTGGTTTGTAAGAATTCGATTTGATTATACGAGTTTGACCACGGATTGATATCAGTTAGAAAAGCATTGAAAACCAACAAAGACTACTGGACAGCTGTTCCCTCCATCCTAGTTTGAGAGTCATCGGCAGTACCCACCCACTGGGGTTCGAACCCAGGACCTTCCGGTTACAAGGCAAGCTCCTATACCATTCAGCCACTGGGATCTAGTTAAATGGCCCATGAATTCTAACTGCTACTGATTCATGATTTTCAGGGCGACCACCAACCAGTGTCAGCGGCAGGAACTCCATCCTCAATCCTAACCAGATGGACCTTATTGGTAACGACTTCTCACTAGAACTCCAGGAAACTCCGTCCTGTAGCCAGTCATTAGCGAGCATCAGATTAATAATTAGTTAAGTGTTTGATAGGAAACAAGATGACGAAGAGTTGAAAATGGACTGGCAAAATTAATGTATAAAGGAGAGTTATTATGCAATAATTCAGGAAAATAAGAATGGACACCAAAGTGACAGTAGGGACTAAAGTTGGATAAAAATATTTCTGAACACAAAGCTTTGATAACCCTTTGTTCTAATGTTTTCAGTCAATTATTTCAAAAGAAGCATTCGTCACTTAACTAATTACCAAGTATTGTTTGATTGGTTGGAGTGTGTACTTATGAAGAGTCCAAAAATAGGACGAAACATCTGTCCAGTACTGGTCCTCTAACTGATTGTCAGCTCATGATGAAATCTCTCAACCAACTTAACCAGTTAGTTGTCAATCATTTCAATTACGTAAGATTATTCACTGCTTTTCACACAGTTATTTCTCATACACTTTGATTTATATTTTGTTACTAACTGGCAATAACCTCTGACCTTTGTTGTCAATTAAAATTGTATACATAAACTCTTAGATAACTGTACAGGTTTGAAGAGAAATTACTCAAAAAGAGATCTCTTTTCTGGCTTGTGTGTTCTTAATTACATCATATCGAAGTTTCTCATACTTTGAAGAAAAATGTAATTTGCAGATTACCATGCAGTAACTGTGAGGTCAATTACAGAGGTCAGAATACAGATCAGGGTTACTCGGGTCGTCGTTACATTAGAATTTAGCTGGATATAGAATGACTAACCGTAATTAATTAAATAATCTAGAAAAAAACTCGGTTATTGTAATGCGTCCTCTTGCAGGTAATCGCATAATAGGATGGGCAAATATAGAAGTAATAAAAAATAATACTGTCAGGTGGACAGAGATTAATCACAGGATTTTCACTTATCAAGTTAACAATGAATAAAAGCAAAACTATGAGTAGTGATTCTGTTAAAAACTCAAACAAAAATATTCCATTTTAATGACTTAAATACACTAATGTGTTTTTCCAATAGACATAATGATCTATAGCTCATTTGAAAATACCAAGCATTTGTAAGACTTCAGAAGTTATGAAATATAATTAAAAAGCCCTAAGGACGAATCGCTATTTCCAACTCTCTGATGCCATAGCTTAATTGCCAAAAGTACTGAAATATGCTATACAGAAATCTAAGTATTTGTCATTTTTCCATTACTATAACCTTGGGGACTGAAAATAGTATTTTTTAATTAGATTGTGTAAATCATTCTATATCAAACCGATAATCTGTTGTTTAGAAACCAAATGGTTACTGATGAGAGGTTCAATTCTAAGTTAAGAATTTACTTCTTCATTAGGCAACAATTACTTTCAAGAACGATTTGTAATATAAGGCCTCCTATACAAGAATGGGTTATCAAAACTAAATGGCTTTGAAGATTACGCTTTAGCGTCTAAAAGTATTGGTGATGAGTTCGAATCTTAACAGAAGAGGCAATGGCAATCTCGGAGCAATTACAGCTACCCTTCATAATATTGAAACAGTAAAATATTTTTACGTGTAAATGAGTAATTGTAACAAGTGTCATAGGAAAAACTAAAGACGGTTGCAACAAAGCTATCAACTAGGCTTTGCATCCGTGTATATATATAATGATGAGATTACGAAGAGGGAATGAAATGTAGTTAGAATAAAACAGACAGTAACGTCAGATAAAAACAGTAGGATCATAATAATTGTAATAATAATAATAATAAAACATAATAATTGAGAAAATTGACTCTTCGTTCAATTAGCAATTAAAAACCAAACCAATACTTGAAAAATGTAAAAGTTGCTGAAATAACCAGGAAGTCTGAGTAAGAAACATTATAGGATAATCATTTGCCAGCCCGAATAGATCAGTGATAACGTCTCTGGCTCAGTACAGCACTGGTTGACGTGGGTTCAGATCTCAAAAGGGACAACGGCTCCTCCAAGATTGCAGACAGGCTTTTAGCATTGGTGATCTAGCGGTAAAATGCTAGGCCGATGCACTCCTAAACCTCGCTATGCTGGTCGAAAGGCCGGTAAAGAGGGAAGGCTGGACTTAAGGCTAGCAACCTCACCTCGTAAAAATAGAACCACTACTACCGAAACCTCAAAACCATAACTTGAGGCCCTATGTTCCACTCAGAACGTAAAGGAATGAAATATATGTATACAAATGATGGCTATGGTAAAGACAAAGGTTGAATGTATTTTTTTTGAATACATAGTGTGGGATTGAACTTTTAGATGGCTAGTTTCACAGCCAAACTAAGATGCCTTAGTGTATCTTACCGGTGATATCTTCTTAGGTAAGAAATATCATTCATAGATCTGTTAGAAAATGTATCACATAGTATACATAAAGCTTAGTTTTAAAAATAATGTATGCATGTGAACATTTTGCTATCGAAGGACATAACTAAATGTTTGAAACCATAAGAAATGGAGAGAATATGAGGCATTATGTCAGATCGGAATTTAGATAACCCACTGACTTAAGCAGGCAGCCAAAAATGTCAGAAACCATATATTTAATGAAACTTTGGAAACTTACGTTTTTCATATGGTTGCATGTCATATGCTCCGGAACCAATTTCAGGATTCTAAAATAAAATGGAAAGAAGACAATTTTACAAGTTAATGTTGTATGATTTCTACATTAACCTATGTGAAAAGTATGCTTGAAATACTCCGACAACAAAGTTGTCGATAAAATTTCTCCTAGTAGTGATATTGTTAAGTTGGGCGTCTATCTGTTGTATGTATGCAATAGTGTAATTAGCAGTGATAAGACCGTCTATTCTGACTGCATAGTAAACTTTTTTAAACTCTAATATCGTGTTTAAAGCATGAAAATGAAATATAGTACCTATTTTGACCTCTTTGAAAAAGATATTGAGAAAACTGGGCATAGAAGGATTGTTGTTTAGCATAGTTAAGTCTTGTAGTCAATATTCACTTAATTAACATTGAATCTTTTTTTCAAACAGCTTTATGTTGTTACTCGTAGTTTATATCATAAATATTCTGACCAGAATCTGGTTGTTTTGAACTGATTACAACTCCTAACTTAAGTGGACTTAGTTACGTCACTTATTAGCCTGTCATTGAAAGAACTATACGTCCCTCTAGGTCATCTAGGTCATCTCCCTCTGGTTGGTGCATACTGAATTGAGTGCCGTCTAACTACTCCAGATTTCAGTAGTATATACAGTATTGTATTGTGAGTTTAAGTTTCTCTGGATATTTACAGGTTCAACAACAAAGTCATTATAAAAACCCAGGTCACGGAAACAAAACTATACAAATTTCGTTAGTTAGAATCAGTTTTTAAGATTTGAATATTGGAACCGGGTTATTGTTAAGACCTACCATATTGGATAACTCTGATGTTGAGAAGAACCGATGTATTGTTCGTATTGGATACCAATAAGCAACGTCTAACAGATCAGCTACACTGAGATCAATCACAATCTGAAAAAGAAGATTTAGTTCATTTTTACTTAAATATTCAAGAAAATGTTAACTTATTTAGAAATATGACTCAAGAAGGTCTACAAAGTACAGAGTTAAACGTATTTCGATGACTAATAAGAGTTTAAATATGTACAAATCTACAAATATCTTCCCTCGCAGAAGTCAGTTCTCACTGGTGATAAACGACTACAAATTACAATGTTTATAGCTCTCATCATTCACTATGAAAGAAGGTATTTTTTACGACGGTGATGAGATTCAAAATTTTGTATTTCCTCCAAACTGATTACGTTGGAACGAAATACTTGGCCGTTTTTAGAATTTAGGATGCGCGCTTCGTTTCATTAATGGACTCGTCAGGGGGATGTACCCTCATCCTCAGTGAGTGATGACATTTCCACTTAGGAAATTCTCAGCAAGCCATCATAGGTCAAATAACATCATACTCATCTTCAGATATCATCACAGTGTCCGTATTAAGAAGCAACATGTAAAGAGAGGTCTGTAGTTGGTCAAAGAGATTAGTGAATTCAATGGATCTTCAGCCATTTTTGCCTTGTTTGTCTGTATTGAAGGAGCTTAAGGAAGACACACTGTGGACAGATGGACTTTTAAGGGACCAGAAGGTGGTTGCTGAGTTTTGGTGTGATTCTGTATCCAGGGTTAGTCTTTGAACTCAACCAGATGCATGACCAGACTCCAGCTATAGTGGGACGATTGGCCACACAGCATTCATAAGCCAACAGAAAACGAGCTTGAAGTCGTCCAGGTAGCGTAACTAGACGCCGAACATTTCGGTCCAGTATAAACAATCAATGATAAAAACTAAAATTAGCTAAAACAAATGACAAATGATACTCGTTTTGGAAGAGGTGGTTCTCGTGCCTTAACGACATAGAAGATAATGCTTAGGTGTTTGAAATGATGGGTTCTTGATTCGATTTCGGACAGAAACACTGTCACTCACTGGAGATGCAAACACAACTGGTTGACGAATCCCAAATAGGACGAGTTGCCCATTCCGAATTCTATTGTAAGTGATTATCAGCCGAAAAATAATGGTGAAATACTTTGAGACACTGTTAGATAGGGATAAGCAACTCAATGGCAGATTGAAATTAGAATGTTTTGTTTGTTGGAAAATTAAAAATAGGTTACTCAGCAACTTTTAATTTTCATAAATCTTGTTCGAATCACGAAATGATCGCTTATAGTGACTGGGAGATTTCGAACCTGGGTTCTGTGCTCATAGATGCTGACCAATAGAAATGGAGTCCCATATGGATTTATACAGGAGTTGCTCAGTGCTGCAGTCACAGATGTTATTAATAAGGTACTAGTGTCTAGACATACCTTAGTGGAAAGTGCCTTCACTCATCAGATTCCAATCAAAAGTCCACAACAGTAGACAGTCTCTTAGCTTGGATAAACACATTGTGAGCTCAATAGATCAGTAAATTAGAAAAGACAATGTAGCGCTGACCACTGCTCAGTTATTAACCAATGCAATAAATGATTGTTGAGTAGGTGTTATCATTAGTCAGAGGAATAATTTTCTCAAAAGACCTTAGTTTTGTTTATTAAATTAGAAAGTTTATTTTTTAAATCTTCAGTAAGACAGCAAACTAAAACCTGATATAAAATCAAGAATTATGAGATTACAGAGGTACGTACACGATTACTAAAGACAGTGTGTACTTTAAGATAGAATAAAACATATCACTTTAGAATATGAAGGCACTATGTTTGACTCTTAAACAACGATAGCGTCTATTTAACTTGATTAATTGATAATTTTTTACGAGTTGATCACGGACTGATATCAGTTAGAGAACCATTGAAAACCAGGGAGTACTGGACAGCTGCTGTTTCATCCTAGTTTAGGAATCATCAGCAGTACGCACCCACTGGGATTCGAACCCAGGACCTTCCGGTTACAAGGCAAGCTCGTTTACCATTCAGCCACTGGGACCCAATTCAATGGCTCATGAATTCTAACTTCTACCAATTCGTGATTTTAGCGCGACCCCAACTAATTGATAATTTTCAGAGATCCTGCGGAAATTTTGACTTCATTTTTCAGGAAGATGTTTACATGAATCCATTAAGAGCTCATTAAATATTACACTTACTCATAAGCTGACATTCACTTTTCATTTTTAAATTATTTACTAATTGCTACTTAACAGAATCAGTTGAATGAATTACTTCTAACACACAGCTCTGTGTATGCTGACTCGAACATCAAAAATCCGTTAAAACGTATTCAATTTTAGTTATTCATCCTATACTCATTTTAGTAATAGTAGGAACATAAATGATGCTCAGGAGGACTTCGTGTGCTTTTGAAAGTGTGAAGCAGAGTGTGGCAACTCAAAATTCTGCACATCCATGCAAAGTTCTATGTTGAAACCAGTCAGCCAGTCAGTCAGTCGGTTAGGAACATAAATACGAAGAAAATTGTAGGTAGTAATTAAAAAGTAGAATCCCAAAGGAGATGAAATACATTTTTTTAGAAATCCATACCTCATATCTTAATTAAAGGTTAATTCAAATGTCCTCAATTTTTAAATTGTAATCCATTTAACCTTATCAGCATAATTATCTAAGTGAAAGCCTTACTTTTAAAAAGCGCGGGAAGAAAAAACAGCTACTAAGTTAACTTCTTAGGATTAGAAGAATATGCGATATATAGTTGTTTTTTTTTACCAAGATGGCGATATTATTGATTTTTATGAGATAATTATCAAAATTTATATGCCGTTGAGTTAAGAAATATTGGTATAAATTCAGTTTATGCATAACAGATCATTTTGATTATAAAATCCTGTAAAAGAAATAACCTCATGGAATGTGTAACTTAAGTCGTCTACAAAATAAGAGTTTAGCATTAGAAAAACTCAACTTGTAAATAATCTTAAATGGTCCTACCTCGCCAATTTTATACTGTTCATCTGTACTGTCTCCACAGCTCCATATTATAATCTCTAAGTGATGACTATTTAAATCATTATCTGTGAAATTTGTGAAACGGAAGGCTTGATTCCATATAGGGTTGATGCTGCCGCTGACTACCTTTGTACACCGAGAATTGTATTCCCTGTATAATGAAGAATAAATAAAGCAAAGTATGTATAAATGAAAGTGAATTATATTTACAAACCATGGTTATCTATTAGTTAAGACCGAATTCCGATGATTTATCAGGATTTACTTTCCTTTCCTTCTACCACAAAACTGTTCATTACCAAAATCTCTTTCTTTGAACTAACTTTCAACTGAACAACTAACTAAAGCAGTAATCGACAGTAGTGATTATTTTTTGTGGTTTATTTCGACAGAAATCAAAATCATCTTGAAGAAACACTAAAACCCAAGCGTAACTAGTCACCTATTTTATTTTATATTGAGATTCCTCGACAGAGGGAAATGAGTTTCATCAGTGTGTTACGTGTGCAGATTCAATGTGCCAACGATTTTAATCATTTGTAATCTTGTCCTTTAGTTCCTAGAGGAATAAAGGGCTTCAGCCACTCGTCTCCGTTGCGTTCGGTTCTCTGTTGACGTTTTCACCTGACTCCACGTCTGCCCACATGCTTTCATCTGCTCTTCACATTACCTCCTCCATGTCACCCTCACACTGACGACCAACTCGCCGCTTCCCATTCGGGTTCCACTCAAGAGATCCTCCGCTGTGTGATTTCACTTGATGGCCTGTTTTCTCAGAGTATGGCCACCTCCATTTCTTCCTGCACATTTGTTGCAAATTGGTTCCTACTTGATTGGTTCGCTCCCAGAGATCCCTATGGCTCATTTTTTCACCCATCTGATCTTGAGTAGTATTGAGCGAACACAGTTGTTGGTGAACGTGTGTAGCTTGTTTGAAGTGACATTCGTGATGCGGTGCCAAGTCTGTAATCCATAAAGTAGCACTGACTTCAAACTGGAGTTGAAAATTCGGATTTCATTTTTTATGCTGAGTGCTGTTGATCTCCATCACAATGAATCATTCAGCTGAAGCATTAATGAATAACTGCATATTTTTAAAAGTTTTCCTTATGGGAATTTGAAAATTTTAGTGGAAATGTGACAAATAGAATAAGCTTATGAAATATTTAGGCGGAAACTTAAATCTACGAAAGCATTTCTACTGTGGAAATATCCCGAAATCAGGATCATCTAGATTAATACTTGCCAGATGGTTCATCTGTTTGGTCACTCGATTTTCATTCAGCCAACAGATTCCACCGTTGAGTCATGGCTTACTTACTTTACCTTAGAACAGATGATGGATCTGATTTCCTACATAAATTATCCCAAAAAACATTATTTTAGTCTGCAAATGCAATCATGTAGCTGGTCGGCGGAAGAAATAAATCAGGGATGACTCAAGTTTTCAATAGTAGTTGTTTCTGTTAATGCTGGCATCACTTATTATTATTATTATTATTATTATTATTATTAAATGATACTAATATTCCGTTTTTTTCTCACTCCATTATGGATATTAGTCATCAAGGCCAGAAATAGCATTTTGGACTGTTACAACTAAATTCAAGGGCTTTGACTTAATTTTTATCCCTACAGAGAATATATAATACCAAATTACATGACACTGGAGTATCTTATCCGTTAGTTTAATGGTCATATTGTAAACCTAATAGATGGAATTCGATCAAAGCAATCAGCTAGGGTGCTAAGAAGAGAAATATTGCGAGATGATGTTATTTCACAGTTTCTTTACGAATATTAGTATGATTCATAATAATAACAATAATAATAGTAATAATAAAATACAGTGTCTGACAATTAATCACTTATTTCAAAAATGGAAGTGCACATTAATAAGCAGTTTTATGTTTTAGTAGGTTAAGTAGTCCATGTTATTAGGCAGAGGTTGAGGTCTGTTTTTACCACAAAATCAACGTTAATGATTATTTCTCTATTATTACTGAAAACTGTAAATCAGGGTTAATAAAGATGATGGAAGCACTTTGAATTAATCACATTCAACCCAAACTATTGTTACAGGAAAACCAAAAAACTTTAACCAATGGCTACCATGGACTACCTGATATGTTAAAATACGACTGGTTATTAATATGCACTTTTTCGACTGGACACTAGTCAGAAACTAGTGTAATGTTTCTAGTCCTTTCTTTGGTACAGACTGAATTCTATCAGTCTAGTTTGCAATGTGACCATCATGTTAGGTTCCTCGCCATCACGGTGTACTATGAATTGTTGGTGTTCTGTCAAAAAATTCAATACAGTCTTATAGGAGGTCAGTCACGAGCCCGAATACCTCGATGGTAACGTTTCTGTCTGCAGCACTGAGTGAGGCGGGTTTGAATCTCAGAAGAGACATAAGTCCATCAAGGTTGAAGATACACCTCCGTGACACGTGCCAGCTAGCGCGGAACCTAGGTCCAAGGCTTCCTGGTGATTGTCTCCTACCATTTAATACCAACAATACACTTTTTTATTCAAGTCAATTTTCTATTTCCCTTCGATTAATTATATTGAACCGAAATGTTCAGTCTCTGTCGACATGTAGGCTGTTAGTACAAACGCCTCAACGTTGTCTGAGGATTAGGATGATATTTTTAGGCGTCAGGTATTTAAGCGGTGGAATACCCGCCAACTATGCATATCACCTGGGTTAGATCCTATAAACTTCACTAATCCGGTAGTAAGCACGGAAAAGGAGGAAGTTTAGGCGTGAGGCTAGCAAAATTATCCAGTAAAAACAAAAAAACAACTGTTACAGTAACTTCAAAACTGAAGCATGAAGCTCTGTGTTTCACTGGGAACGCAAATGGGTAAAATAATATAAAAACTTTAAGAGGATGGTAAGTAGAAGTAAAAAATATCCATCCTTGATTCTATCCCTAGTCACTATCCACCAAACAATAATATATACTTTTATTTTATATAACTGATTAATTTTCAAGTATTGGTTGTAGAGATTTTGTTTGATTGGTTGGAGGATTTCATCATGAGCCGACATCACTTAGAGAACTATTGGAAAAACTGCAGGACGTACTGCACAGCTGCTTCACTCTAGTTTGGGACTCTTAATCAGCACGCACCTACCAGGGTTTGCACACGGGACCTTCTGGTTACAAGGCGAGCTAGCTCGTAGACCACTAAGCCACTGGGACCCAATCCAGTGGCCCATGAATTCTAACTTCTGCCAATTCACAACACAGCGCGACCATTTAGCAATGTTTTCGATGAGTGACTGTCCTCACTTTTGACCCGGTGGGTGCATACTGATGAGGAGTCCCAAACTAGGAAGAAACAGCCGTCCAGTACTCCGGTGTTGATTCCCAGTGGTTCTCTAACCGATGTCAGCTCATGATGAAATCTTCCAACCAACTGATTAACTGTCAAACATTGCATCTTATTATTGTGAACCATACTATTTAGTTAATAAATAATATATAAATAAATAGCTTTATTCTGAACAAACTGTATACACTGTGTACAGGATTCTCGGCGTAACTTATTGCATAATATCTTCTCCTGATCCAGGATCTCCAACTAAAGTAGCAGTCGACAGTATCTCACATGACGTAATGCTTTTAGATCTGAAGCATAGACTAACCCCGTATGATACTTTTCCTTCACCTGTACGAAATGCCCACTGGTAGTTTGAAAGCCAGTCAAAAATGTGTGTGAGTACATTTTACGACTCAAGAAGATAATTGAATGGTCAAGAAAATAAGAATTAAAGAAAATATGATGCCGTGTGTTAGGCATCTCAGTGATTCTGACAGGCCGACAAACAGCAACCATAAAGAAACCATGAAATTATATCATCTCGCAGTATTTGTCTTCATAATGCCTTATTTAAATTAATAATCAAGAGGGAAACTAACTGTTTCAATATTCAAAACAATAACTTGAATATAATTATTATCATAATCATCATCATCGTCTTACTCTTGTTCTGGAAGAAGGCACAAACTACAATAATAGGTACAAGGAACCCTGGAAGATTGATTAATAATTGGTAGATTTCGAGCGGCTAAAATATTGATAATTAATTGACATTTGATTTCATCGTAGAATAATTTGAGCTGAAATAATATGAAGAAAACAAGAAAACCAACAAAACATCAACATGTGTCAGCAGTATCAGTATTGATAGGAAAAAAAACTAATGACGAAAAATAATTGAAAATGTCTATCGAAATAGAGCACTCTTCTACTTGAGTCTCATCGATTTGTACGTAGACGTATTAATGTATGTGTAAAACGTGGGCACTGCAGTAGTATGTCTTATTATCCATATTAATTTGTGAAACTGTAGCATTTACTGGATAACAAGGTTTCAAATACAATTTATTGTTCATAATTGTTTTTCTATAGTTGGTTTGTAAGGATAAGTTTTGTTTTTACGAGTTGATCACAGATAGATATCAATTAGAGAAGCATTGAAAACCCACCAGGGAGTACTGGACAACCCACTTACAGGGTTCGAATCCAGAACCTTTTGCTTACAAGGCAAGCTCGTATACCATTCAGCCACTGGGACCCAATCCAATGGTCAGCCTATGAATTCTAACTTCTACCAATTCGTGATTTAGCGCGAATGGCAACAACCAATGTTATCGGTGGGACATCCATCCTCACACTTGACTGGATGGACCTCACTGGTCACGACTTCTCACTAGAACTCCAGGAAACTCCATCCTGTAACAAGTCACTAGCGAGCATCAGATTAATTTTCTATAGTTTGGTTTGTAAGGATTAGTTTTGTTTTTGTGAGTTGATCACGGATTGATATCAGTTAGAGAACCATTCATAATTATATCAGTTATAATCACACAACTTCGAAACTTGAGTTTTATAGTTTTCCTAATTCTTTACTATTTGAGATCTTAGAAAATACCCATTAGGACATTAAAAAGAAGAGGACATGAAGTTCAGGAAAGATATCTTTCGACGATATCATTTTCAAAAGCTGTACAGTCGCATTTAAATAAGATAAATTTACATAGATACAATTATTATTTGATTCCACATAATTACGAAGGCGAATTAAAGGTGACAATTATTTTCAACTTAATATGGTTTTCGAGCGGCTTAGAAACAAAAAATTACACAGGATTTCAACGAGTTACAGGTGTGAACAAAATGAGCATGGTAGCAAATTGAAATAATAATTTCCAACTTGAAATGGAAGTTAGGAGGTGTGAATATAAATTACAAGAGGCTTAGATACAAAAGTTACACAGGATGAGAATATAATTGTAAAATAGTTATTTTAGACGAATTATAAATGTGAGCAGGAAGACCATGGAAACAAACTTAACATAAATGTTTTTATAACTGAAAAAGTGTGATGAATTGAATGAAGACAGAGAGAGAAAAATCACACACACAGCGAACAAAACAAAAAACTGAAGGCTAAGGGAGCATGCTGAACTAGGTCCTTGGTAGTTGTAAGGTTGGACTGGTTTCTTTTGAACACACGGCTCCGGCTTTTCCATGCATATTGCGAGGGCTTTTGCAGTACAGAGAAGTCAGAAACATACTGCCTTTGGTGGGTTTCCGTTTACTTTGTAAATGACTTTGAATGAATCAGCTGAGATGTTGTGCGGGATGTTGATAAGATGTTCAGTTATGGCACATATGATTGAACCGGTGCCTCCTCTAACACGTTTCTAAATGACGCACATACGACGATCTATGTACCTAGAGCCACACGAGCAGGTGAACTGGTATATGTACATTGAATTAGTCATATGCGAGAGCTTATCCTTTGCATTGTTTAGAAGTTTTGGGCGGCTAAAGAATGTCACTCTGAGTGCTGCTGCGGGGAAGGTCTTCTTTAAACGACTGGATATTCTCCTCTTTAGGATATCAGCTACCAAATCTCCCCTGAAATTCAGATTCATATACAGAGTTTTCTTTGGCGCTAAATCGCATTCCTCTCTTTTTGGTTTAGGTTTCATGTTCTTGTCGACAAAACGTGCCCGGTAAACATTTTGAAAGAGGATATTTTTGAGGAATAGGAGCTCCTCTTCCAAGCAATCACTGCTGCAGATTTTTCTAATGCTGTGGGTTAGTGCGATGATGACAACTGGTTTTCGTCTCAAAGGTATCGAACTATAGAAGTTCGTTAGTTGGCTATTTCACGTTGGTTTTCTGTGGATGGGTCTCTTCAGAATTCCATCATCTCTTCTTTTTGATTCCATGTTCAGAAATGGAATTTTTGAATCTTTTTCTAATTCCATTGTGAATTTAATCGAAGGACGGGGATTATTAAATTCTTGCAAGATACAACTGAAGTCGGAGTTGTCGTAGCGGACTATAAAGGTATCGTCTACGTAACTTTTGTACAGTTATAATTTGTTTATTGTTGACTTTTAAACGCCACTTTCCGAACCAGCCATAAAGCAGTCTGCTAAAAGCGGGCCAATAAGAGATCCTCTTGTGATTCCATCTTTCTATCTGTAGATGTCGCTGTTGAAGGTAAATTGTACATTCAGCGTGCATTCCAGCAACAATTCTTCCAGATATGATATTGGTATTCCGATGCTTAAATTCGAGTCCTCCATATATTTGTGCAGGAAGCAAATTGTTTCTGTTAGTGGCATGTTGGGAAGGAGAGATTCGACGTCTATGGATAACATTCGTTTACCATTTACATTCAAATCTTTTATTCATTCAACGAAATCAAAATTATCACGAAGGGAGTACTTGTAAAGGTGTTGTCTAACAGTCTTTGCTATTTGCCGTAGGGGTAGTAGAATTTTCCAGATTTTTGACTGGACAGGTGTTGAATCACTTCTATTACACGTATTTGCAGTTGATTCGATAAACAAAGCCTCCGTTATCAATCTCTCCCTCCACCCTGTGAAATTAGATTTTAAAACTGTCATCTCATCCCATTCAGTTGTATGGTTGTGTGTAATTGCATTTAGTGGCAAAGCTGAACTATTCTCCAGATTCATTTCCTTACCAGGGTCAATTAATTTAGATTTTGCTAGGTTTTTGTGCTCCGCTAGTCTGACTGACCACATTCTACTACTTTGACCTGACAATCATTGCAGGGTATTAGATAAACTAAACTGTTTTTTTTAATTGGCTCTACAGGATCTTCTAACCGACAACGATTGTTTCTGAGTGAGTTTGTGGGTTTGAATGCCACTTGTAATGCTGCCTTGTTAAGAATTCTACGTAAGGTTTCTGAGGCTCCTTCTTTGTGTGCAAGTACTACTGATGATTTATATTCCCTATTGTTGGTGTTGTCATTATCCTGTGAATATTTTACATGCATGTCATCATTATTATTGTTATCACTATCACTACTGTTATTATTTATTTCATTTTTACATTTCTCTATATACTTCCTGATTAATTTATTAGAGTAATTATCGAGTTTCAAAGCTTCTCCCTCATGTCTTACTTCCTGTTTCAGATTTTTCCTGGTACTACTTAGTTTTTGTGTGCTGTTACTTAAACATTTCACCAACCCTACTTCTACTGACGGGGTGGGCTAATAGGAAATCCAGATATCGGCTCGAATGTGTGGGTTTCCTGTAAACACTAGTGTTTAACTTCCCATCTTTTCTTTTTACTCTAAAATCTCACATTGGAAGTTCCCCTTCTTAACCTGTCCCAGACATCTGGGAAATTCTACTCTCCCTTCGACAAATAGCAAAGTATAAAGAAAATTATAAAACGAAAGTTTAGAAGTAGTGTGATTATAACTGATATAATTGTGAACAATAAATTATCCTCGAAACCTTGTCATCCGGCAGTACGTAGACAATTTAAAATAAAATTCAAAACATATGACAATAAACTGATGAGTATAGATATGTGTTTATCAGGAAAATACCTAAAATGAAGTTTGATGCTGACCGAAATCTGTCAGTCTTATAAAAAATTCCCAGATAATCCTACGAGCTGCGTCCAGTCGTCTCTTCATATCCTTATCAAAATGGCAACTGGAAGCTTTGTCTGCGGGCTCGAAATTTTGTGATTTTAATCTCAGTGTTATTTTGAAAATCTACTCAGCCAAAATAAATAATCTTACACTGCCGTCTGACCAAGATTTGTAATACTTCAATTCTCCTGTCACTTATTCTTGCAGTCGGTACCTTAACACAAAAACGAACAGCTTGAACAGTGTAAATACAATAAAAATGTATTATCAACATGTCCTGACAAGAGTGCATGTGTAGTTACCTTGGGTCTCTGAATCTTCTAATGAGATACATAGAAGAGAAAGTAACTCATATAAGTTTAAAAAGGAATGAAGAATAATCACCTGATCAGTAAAGAACATCGCAAAGGGACTAGACCAACAGGATGCTTAATACTAAAGTTTTATGATGTGTTGAAAATACACAAAATCTTTAATATTTTGATAAATTACACACATATTTATCCTTAAGTATCTAAAATCAAACCTACCTGTAAACTAGATTTAGGGATATGTTCTTCAGCATCCATTTCCTCTGAATTCATACATTCAGAACGACTTGGTACCATTAGAACAACATCATCTGTTGGTGCTGTAAAGATAGTAAGTTCGAAAAAAAGTAAATTAACACATCAGGTTTAATATTATGAAAAAATATAATCTATCTGATCAATTTAAAAACTTGCTTATGTCTAAAATATGTGTATTTTATGAATGAATCTTAAGAAAAGGGTTATTATGAAACAAGTATTGAAATGATACGACTCCATCGGATGGAAGTTCTTTTCATACTGGTAAATAATCTATGTTCTGTAAAATACTTGTAGTATTACTATCATTATTTTCTTTGGTTCCAAACGGAATATACAGCTTCAACAACACTTCAAAACCAAGATATGCGCACCTCTTGAATCTAAACCCAAGAAAAAAGGGAACTGCTGTGCACATATCCATTGTGTTCAGTCTAGCTTAGTAACTGAACTTTACATTTGGTCGAGAGATTTCGAATTCTACTGGGAAATAAAAAAGAGTATTCTTTTCAAGAATTAGTTTGAAGGGATTCTATTTGTTTCAAGTTAGACTATGGATTGATATCGGTTAGAGGACCATTGAAAACCACCAGGGAATACTGGACAACCAGATGTTTCGTCCTAGTCTGGAACTCATCATCAGTACGCACTCACCAACAACGGGTTTCGAACCTAGGACCTTCTGGTTACAACACAAGCTCGTATACCACTCAGCCACTAGGACCAGATTTAGTGGCTGGCCCATGAATTCTAACTTCTACCAATTACTGACATTTGGAGATCAATTTGAGTACAATCTAAAAACTTAATACAAACGTTGATGGTAATACTGTAGACAATGCTTAATTAATAATTTATTATGCAATAACTTACTATTCTCGGTTTCACTGGAATTTCCATGCATTTATAAAAAAAGAAAGATAAAGAAAAGAATATTTTTAGGAAAGTGATATAAATTACGAAAGACATTTTGAACAATAAGAAATATACATCTAAAAAAAAATTAAGTAATGCTTCATTTTATATTACTGCGTTTAGTTCACTTATCGTATTTTATGTCTGGTGGGTAAAATACATTGCGAGACTGTTATTTTTAAAACTTAGTGAAATATAAAATTCCTGGTGATGTGTCTAAATCGCTAACTAGGCTAGCAAATTTTCCCCATCCATCAAATTACGTCTTATTTGAATGGTTGGAGGCAATCATCAGAAAGTCTTGGACCTAGGTTCCTTGGCTCGTTGGCACTCACCAGTCAGCAAGACTTGAGGGAATTTATGTCTTATGTGAGATTCAGACCCGTGGCACCCGATGGTGTAGTTGCAGACGTTACCATTGAGCCATTTGGGCTAGCGATCTTCCTCCAATAGGACTGTAATGGATACCTTCATTGGACGATACTAGGCAATAACTAATGTCATGCGTTTTCGAAGGCAGTGGAATAAAAGTATAATAGATAATTAGAGAGTGCTTTGGATAAAAAAATATTGCTTCAAATGCTGCATTATCGATTATTAATTTACTTGAAGAATCTTCACAAAGAGTAATTCCTTTGCAATATAACATGCTAAGAATTCTTATATTATGTATGAGCTCAATTATCAGAATAAAACTATAATAATAACTATTATTATTATCATTATTAGTACGTCATATTTCTCACAATGTTTAAGTTAGCTCACGCAATCTAACAGTGTCTTTCATTCATGAGTTTTCGTAATTCACATGTTTTCAAAAATGAACATTTTATTTCAGGATAAATGCTTTAAATTCACTGATCTGAATACTGGATAACTTAAACAGTTATCGTGAGTTTAAACTCCACTTCAAGGTTTATTCCGGTAAATAGTGTTACGTATCCATGAATACAACACCTTTTCTATTTCTATGTGCATGATAATTTTGGTATTTGGTGAACTGAATTTTGTTTATATTGTGGCGTATGCTACTGATAGGATTTATCAGTAGTATATAAAAAGACGTTCATCGATCTAACAAACATCAGATAGCAAGAAGATACATTTGATGTCAGAGAAAGTAAATGAAACAGCCTTGTGGAGATACATGGGAGACGTGAAAGGAACACAAAGAAACACAATATGAGGGCCAGGAGTAGTAAAACACGGAAGATCTGCGCAAATGGTGTATTGAAGGTGTACATGATTTTGCTATATAGAGATACTGAGTCTCTCGTCTTCTACCGTTACAATATTAGCTCAATGTTTACGCAATACTGATTCACAAGGTAGAAGACAGTTCTTTTTGCTGTAATTTAAAGTTGCTTGGTTAGTCAGTGAGAAGTGTTGAGTGAGAATTTGGCAGTTATGTAAACACCAGACAAAAAATCCAAACATTCATGTGTAAGCTTCTTGGCAAGCTTTTCAGATTAACTAGTTTCAAACAAAGTAATTCTTGTGAGGTGGTTGGAAGCAGTTGACACGGAACCTTCAACCTATGTTTAGTGCTAGTTAGCATATCTGCAATCGTGAAGGAACTTATATCCCACCTGAGATTAAAACCTGCATCATCCAATTCTATAGACATACTGAATTCAATGGGTCAATTTTGCAATATGGCTACCATGCTAGGTGGCTTGTCATCACGGTGAACTCTGAATTGTTGTTAGATGGCTGCAGCCAATGAAGTTGCCTCCAGGCAATCAAAGTGAAATTATTTTTCGTCTCACCTTCATTCTAATCAGCTGCTTAATCAGAAAATTATTTCAATTTAATCAAAGTTTACACTATCTATAGTACCTATAATTTTCCTTTTGACAATACTCATGAAAGAGATTGGGATTGTGAGTACACTTTGTTCACTGTAGAAAAACTATGTTAATTCTTCAACTCACACTCACATCATTATATTGATTAGACGTTCATCTATGACCTTTGTATGTGATTGAATTACAAGTTATTTTGTACAACGACCTACTGGAATCATACAAAATTATTATATCGAAAGTTTATATTAGTTCATACAAAGGTTAATGTTAAATCAGATCTCTAATTGACAAACTCGATTAGCTACGTTTAGCTATTCACATTTGAATTTTTGAATAGTGTTGGATACTAGTATACCCTTACAGTCCATCTATCCAAAGAATGTGTAAACAAATTTGACTGGGATCATGAACATCACGTATAACAGTGTTCAAGTTAAAACGCAATCATGATGACCTTACAATTTCTGCTTATTTGTGAAACCGTGTAATCACTGTCTATCGTCAACTTTGGTTTCCCGTAGTCTTCTGAACTAATCCTTCTCGACATTCCTCACGTTTTACTTAGGACATCAGTGAACGGACAAGCTCCTTAAACTTACAAATTATTTATTATTACTACACAATTTTGGATTATAATTAAATCTTACTTTATTTCTCTTTGAGCAACTAATTCCACTTGTATTTCATCTTTTGATTGATAAATAATTTGTGAGACTTCATCAGCACTTAGTCCACGAAGTGATTGTCCATTCCATTCTAATATTTCATCACCAGGTCTTAAATGTCCAACAACATCTGCTGGACTGCCTGGTTTAATCTGAGTAACAAATGCACAAAGACGTCTAGATCGATCAAGTCGACCACCAGCTAATTTAAGACCTAAATCAAAAAATAAACAAAGTTAAGAATGATAAAAAAATATTGTGGAACTGAAAGTTTGTCACTGAAAATATATCTTATATTTTCAAATTATGAACCGTGGATAACAAAGACCAATGTTCATAACTTCACTGTATCTCAGAAAAATAAGTTATATGACAAGCAATGAAGCTATATTCAGCCTGGTTGAAAGTAACTTTATTTGTTATTGTCGACTGCATGATGGAGACTACACTTAACAAAGTTACATCAGAGAGTTTCAGTAGTTTTGACCCTTTCACAAATATTTGGTTGGTTAAGATATAAGCGAATTGGTTTTTTCATACTTAGGCTCAGAATGTGTTGTATGCTACCTTCCATTTTAAAGGAGTCCTTAGTATTTGTCGACCAAGACTAAATTACTGTAAAGAGTTAGAAATCTGTGGTTCGAACCAGGGGAAGTGTGATTCACTATAAATAAACAACTTTATGAAGACGACGTTAAAACTAATTTGTATTTAGTAAAAGAGAAATTAAGCACTTCTTTAGTACCTCATGAATTTGCACAGATGAAAACCTGAGTAAATACCAAGAAGCGACCCCTTTCTTTGCCATGGTCGTCTTCATAGTATGTATAAAGTCTTACAAATGATTTTCCCCTATCCTTGCATGCATCATTTACCTTTGCTGTTTTATCTAGTTATTTTGTGATTGTTATCCATGTTAATCCTACTGACGTATTTGTACCTTGGTATTAATTCAACACTGTTTTAAAAAATTTTTGGTTTTGAAATACCTTGTTGCTAGCCCCTACAAATTAACTGATCTTGAATTCTGTAATTATTTTCACCTCTTCCATGCCTTTAAACTTATACTTCTTTTTGACTAACAATCTGTTGCTAACCTTTACTAACACCAATCGTTTTGATCAATTGCAGTCAGTCATCTATAATCCTCCTATGCCTTAAAACTGATAATTCTTATTGATGAACGTAACGACATGACTGGTATAATTTTGATGAAAAACAATATATGCATAAATTCTTACTCAGTTCCTTTGCGTTCCTGGTGGAACAAAGGGCTTCAAAGCTTGAGTTCTGAATTTTCAGTACCGGTGATCTGGTCTTTTACTTAGTGCGACTTTACTGGGCTTTCTACCGGTTAAGTGATATTTAAAAGTGCGTCAGCTGGGAATCGGACCCCAACCGCGTGGCTGTTTGGTGACCATTCCACCGCTCCATAGCTAAAGCTAGTATATATATATGTTATTCCTTTACTATCCTAGTGGATAATAGGGCTTCAAGCTAGAGCTCCGAAGTTTCGGTAGCAGTGATGTTTTTTTTACGGGATGGATGGGGTTGCTAGCCTCATGCCCAACCTTCCCACTTTACCAGTCTTATTACTACTGGCTTAGCGAGGTAAAGGGGTGCGTCAGTCGGGGTTCAAACCCCGAACCATCTGTGTGGTCGGCAAGCATTCTACCACTAAGCCACCGAAGCATGTAGAACTGTTGATGAGGAATTAATTGAGATAGCATTTATTTTTACACTCAATTGGTTGCCTTTTCTGAATGTGTAAATGGGGATTTTAAACAAAAGCAGATTTGCATTTATACACGATTGAACACTATCAGATGCATACCTAATACAGATCCTGGTTCACCAAATTGAGGATCAGATTTCTTTCGAAGTATCATATGACCAATTAAACGTCTACCGTCTTCTGAAACATTCCATGTGACTGGATGTGACTAAAATTCAAAAAGAAAGAGAAGAATAATGTTTAAAAAAAGGAAATTAACATTACACTATCTAATACTAACGTCAAAAATTTATTCTTCAGATATAAAGTCATTAACAAACTTGCTATATAGTAAGCAATTTGTTTTTATTTGTTTACTATTACAAGTATACAATCTAATGTAATGATGACAACAACCAGCATGATACATTGTTACGATTTGTACGCTAGAGTAACACTCACTCACCAAATGGTTATCATATTCTGGAACTAAGATATTATTTCCTTTTCTCAAATTGGATAACCTTATAATAACCTTATCAGTATTCAAATAAAAACATTTTGCACTTGCAGTCATTTCATCATATCACTTTACGAGACGGAAACTGATCTGATTTTGGATTCTCGATCAAGTTCTTTTCAAAGATGGATTTGTCAAGAGATTTATTTTTGTGACTACAAGAATCTAAAGACAGCTTATTAAAATAAAGATTCTTCTTCTGAATCAACTTTCAGTGATTGGAACAGATGAGTCATATAGCTTGCAAATTGGGTATCAAGTGACGTAAACACCAATCTCTAGAGGAACTTTAGTTTTTTACATCTTAATCTTTTCATCAGACGTCGTCAAACACGAAACCTAGGTCTTACACGGTTTTTTGCCGATTAATTGATCATATTTAACTCCCGGTTATTACTAAATATATGCCTGACACTATGAACTACTGGTTGGCTGAAATGAGTAGTTGGATGTCAGTCATGTTAACCAACTGAGTTGATTCAAACTGGGTATATGGCCGATGAGCTCGGCTTAAAACAGCCAAAACAGCCGCCCTCATTTTTGGATGATTTCGATGTGGTAAGCAAGCACTACTGAATGATGTGAGTGGTACTCGTTGAGTCAACAGTTTAGTGTTTTGCATTTATATGAGTTTTGGTCACAGGATTTTATCATGAGCTGAAAGCAGTTAGAGAACCATTAAAAAACCTGCAGGGAGTACTGATCAGCTGTTTCGTCGTAGTTTGGGACTCTTCGTTGGTACGCATCCCATGGGGTTCGTACCAAGGACCTTCTGGTTACAAGGCTGTCTCGTAAACCATCAAGCCACTGGGATCCAATTCAGTGGCCTGTGAATCCCAACTTCTGTCAATTCAGGACAAAGCGTGACCACTAACCAACATCTACGAGCCCGCCTTGGGATCAGACGGTCTTAATTTCAAAACTCGCTGGGTGCGTACTGTGAAGAGTCCCAAACTACGACGAAACAGCTGTCCAGTACTCCTTGCACGTTTTCCAATGGTTCTCTAACCGATGTCAGCTCATAATGAAATCCTGTAACACTAATCAGTCAGATCCTAACAAATCAGTACTTGAGTATGTGCGTTTTCTTAATTACCATTTAAATAGTATCAGTCAGGTTATTTGATGAAATCTAAATGATTCCAATTTCCATTGAAAACTGTGGTGAAATTTCACCTTCTTTAAGTGTACAAATCGCAAATTGCTAATTGGATTCAAAATGAAATGTCCTAACCATAATCATTGGACATTTAAAAACAGCATTATGAACGGGTGAGAGTATCTATCTCTTCACTTCATACTACTTAAGTAAATTTCAAGTTGTTTAGCAACGAAGAAATTAAATACTCATTGCCTCTTCTGGCATTTATTATTTTTTTTGTATGGGATCTCAGTCGTCCTTTATGATGAGCTGAAAAGTCAGCTATCTACTTTTTACAATGAGGGAAGATTTTTTGCGTGATTTGCGTATCTCATTGCAGAGGGTAATAGTCAAGTAGGAAATTTATGATTCAAAAACTTCACAGAATCAAGATGTGATTAGCATATTATAAATATTTCATCTTTACTCAGTCACTCATAAATCTAAGTAATTGTCTATTTTTCTGTTTCCTTGATTTCTAACTGCTAGCTTCAACGAAATAGCAATATATTTTATCTGATTAAAAATGCCCATCAAAACTATTTTCTAAAGAATGGTTAATGAACAAAGAATACTCTTTTCGATAACCTCTTTTTCATCAGGTTCTACAATCATATATACATTATAATGAATGAATGAATATCATAGGGATGACACCTTTATTCTTTGTGATAAACGATTAGGATAGGAACACAATACTAACTCAATTCAATGAAGTATATTCTGTTATGAAATCAAAGTGCAAAGAGGAATCCCAAAATAGAATTGCCTTCCTAGATATCCTTCTTACAAGAAAACCAGATGGTAGTATAAAGAGAAATCTGCATAGCGAAAGCATATGGATAGGCCAATATACACATAGCTTCATAGCTTCGTTCCTCTCCAGTACGAAAGAAATTTAGTAAGGACCCTCAGCCACAAGGTTAGAGCTATAAACTCAGAAGAGATAACTGAAGATGAACTAAGGGTTGTATATAATACCTTGATTGAAAATAGCTATCCCAAAACATTCATCAGGAAACAAATGGTAAAGAAAGCGGAAAAGGACTATTCTCCATCTGTAAATAAGAAACCTTTATATGTACGACCGCGATTGAAAAAAGAGATGCACCTAGTGAAATAATTGCTAATAAGATAAGAAAATCTATTCGAAGAAATTTTAATGCTGGTAAACTGTAAGTCATGTTTTCTATACGACCGATGGTGATTCTTCGATTGAAAGATGAAGTACCTAGACTAGCCACTTCCAACTGTACCTACCAATTCAAATGCACTTGTGGTGGAGCGAGTTATATTGGCCGTTGCTCTAGGAACTTGATTTTCCGTGCTCGGGAACATCTATCTACCAGTGTGGTTAAATAAAGGTGTAGTGAAAAACATGAACAGTTCGACGTTAGACCACCTGCTCTAAACCGGTCACAAAGCTAATACTGAAGCATCCTTCTCTATCATCTATTGGGTACCAAATAAATTACCAAAAGCATCGAGCTACCGCATACTCCAAAAAGTAGAGGCTATTGCGATTCGCCTGTACTCTGTATTCAGAAGAAACAGGTCCAACCTCCGTCGCTGCCCTGGCATTCGGTCGAGACTATAAATTCATGAATTTGTATTATTATTTTTGCTAATTTTTCTGATATTCAGTGTATTCTTATGTTGATGTTATCGAACTGTAATCCATTGATATCATTATTATTATTGATTCGATGTTATTTAAACAAACATGAATGTTGTTAATAACACTAATTCATTCATACTATTATGTATATATAAACGTAGAACCTGATGAAAAAGAGGTTATCGAAAAGAATATTCTTTGTTTAGTAATCATTCTTTTAAAAAAATAGTTTACATTAATTTCCAAATATTGTTTTTCAAATATTTGAGTAGATTCAAGGAAGTCCTGTAACCTGAAAATCCTAGGTTGAATGTGTGCTGTTGAAGTTATAGGTGAGTATTACTAAAGAGTCTCAAAAAAGGACGAAATGTCTGTCCAATACTCCTTAGCCTTCAGTCGTCCTCTAAATGAAGTGATTTCGTGAAAAAAACCACTTTCAATTAGTCGATTTCATAAAAGTTGAGAGAAATACCATTGAAATTGATGTTTATTTCAAGGGGTTTACTAAACCCCTCCATCTAAATAACTTCTAACAGTACAATGTTCAGTTAAGACTTTTGTAAGGTAGCGAGATGAATTTAATGAAACTGTTAGCTAAATTTTCATTTTAATGCATTTATCATCCATTTTAGGCATCAAAACTGTCACTTCTTCCAGAAGTACAGATTCGTGTATCTCAAGCGGTATAATTCTGTTCTAAGCTCATGGACTACATTTAACCAAGTACCGAAACATAAAATACCATTATTTCAAATAGTTTTAAAGTGATTCTCAACCAGATTTAGGGATGAAACTGTTGCTGAAAATTTAGAAACCATTTATTTCAAAAATAGTAATATATCTAAAATTATTTTAATTGGAATTTGGCCCTTTTTATCTTCTGAATGCATTAAATTTACGGAGTGATATCTTTTTGAATTTTTAAACGTAGCGTGTTATAACAATTGGGTAACAGAACACAAAATAATGATCTTTGAATATTTACAGGCTAACATTGATTCCCCTTTACTTCAGCATAAATATTCTAGAAGTCACTAATACTCCTGCTGTCGGTCACACAAAGTCTTCTGCTAATTAAAGACAGAGGACATGCATGTTGAGAGTGAGAACAAATGCTCGCCGATGACACTGATTGGTGGTCGTGAGAAAATCACGAATTGGTAGAAGTTATAATTAATATGCCAATGAGTTGGGTCCTAGTGGCTGAATGGTCTACAAGCTTGCCTTGTGGCTGGAAGGTTCTAGGTTCGAAAGCCGATGAGTCTTACATCAGGACGAAACAGCTTTCCAGTACTCTCTGTTAGTTTTCAATAGTTTTCTGATTGATATCACTCCGTAGTCAAACTTAAAGGGATGTGTTTGTGTTTATGACACTGGGTTAAACTTCACTTAATGACTAGAACCTTTATTATGAAACTGTAAAACGAAAACAGCTAAACAATACGTTTGGTTCCCTTCATAAGTTTCAACAAAATAAAGTAAGACCATATATGCAGTATAAAATGATATTATTTCATTTCACAGGTTCTTATCAGCTGCAAACCACCTGAAATTACAATGGAGAAGCAGTATCACGAAAGATTGTCAAGAGAATGAAAGCAGCAATAAAAAGGTGCTTCCCTGCAGCTAAGCTCGTAACACTATATAGCACCACATGCTCTATAAGCCAATTCAAACTGGATAAGCAACCTACTGATGTCACCTCCAACTGCGTTTATAAATTTACGTGCATCTGAGGCAGCAAGTACATTGGAAGAGCAGAAAGAAGGGCTTCTATCTGGTTTTCAGAGTATATTCGAAGAAACTTATGTCTAAAAGGAAGCAGATACTCACAAAGTGCAATTAACAGACACCTTGTAGATACGGATCATTTAGTAGAGATTTCTAAATCTTTCAAATATTAAGCATACAAAGGACAGCAGATTTACTACGATTTGCTGAAGCAATTGCAATCAAACGTTTCATACCAAACTTATGCGAACAGAAAGAGATTGTAATCAAACTCTCACTCCCTTGCATTTTGATTACATTGGAATAGTCATCCATATTAGTGATATGAATTCTCTGAGCCAGTTTTCAACTTTGACTTCCTATGTAAACCTACATGCTAACACTGTTTATTAGATTTTTCTGTTTCCTATCTTCTCCCCCGCTCCTCCTTTTCTATTTTGAAAGCATACAAATTGACGGTAACTTAAACCAAAACTGTAGTGTTGCTTATATTTCGGAAGCGTTGATTTTTTGTTTTCTTTACTACTACTTGAACATTGTAGTATGTTATTGTCATTCTCTTTTATAACCATTGTAATTACAGGTAGTGGTTTGAGGCTGGTGAGAACCTGTGAAATAGAGTGATATCACTTTTTATTGCAAATATGGTCATCCTTTCTTTATTAAAACAAAATATGACTGTGATGGTTGTTCAATCAAGTTAACTAATTTATCATTTTTCAATCTATTTGATAACAAAAAGTAACTTACTGATGAACCTTTCGCTGGTCTCCTTGTTGTAATAATTGTTCCATCTTCATGGTTGTATCGTACATCTATTATTGTAGAAAAAAATTGGAGAAAATATGATCAAAAAAGCATTTTCTTGTAAATATCCTCCAGATAGCATATTATATTGGTATTAGATGGTTGGAGGCAGTTGGCAGAAAGTCTTGCTTGACCTAGGCGCCGTGGTAGTTAGTGCTCATACCAGTCAGTCAGCAAGGAGTATCTGCAGTCTTGAAGGAAATCATATCCCTTCTGTGATTCAAACCCGCGTCATTCAGGGAGTACTCCAGTCAGAGACGTTACCGTTGAGCTATTCGGGCTCGTAATTGACCTCCTGTACGGCTGTACTGGATATTTCTGATTGGACACTAGTCAGTAATCGGTGTATCTAGTCCTATCTTTGGTACAGATTAAATTCTATCAGTCAAGTTTGCAATGTGTGTGACCTAATGACACTACATGCCTTTTTCTGTGTCTATTATGAAAGGACAAAAATCAATGGACTCTAGCTCACGTTGGATCTATAAGTTCACCTGTAGTTGCTGAGACACATATACAAGTAGGACCAATAGAATGTTCCAGTATCGTCATAAAGAATTTGTTCCTACACGGTTTTAAGGTCACTTAAAAAGTCCAAATGTACCTAATTTGAATAAAAGTTCAGTATCATCCCCTGTAAAGAATTTATTCATTTCTGGTCACAAAAAATCAATATTACTAAGTGTTTCTCAAATGATTATTTATTAAATACATTCGAAATCTGTATCACCCAATTTACGTTTACTTGACCAATTGCTCTCTTTCTAGAATAACAGAGAATAAGATATTTATTTCTAAGATGACTCATTGATATTAAAATTATCCTTTCTTGTCATTTTCTGCTTTCTTAGCAGGATTGAGAGACTATTGGGATCCATCAGTTCGCATTGGTGAGTTGTGGATATTTTTTAAAAATTTCACTGTTATTGTTTAATATTTCTATTAGTCGCTTTTGATGTTAATCTACATATATTTGGTTGAGAAGAATACATTGAGATGTAAAGTGATTTATACAATATGCTATCTCTGTGATATTTATTCCATTGCAGACTAAATGAAATTTCGTAATGGATTTTAACATTTAAACGGTGAAATTTGACTTTTAAAATGTTGGAGAATTTCATCATGAGCTAACGTCATATAGAGAACCATTGGAAAACCTTCAGGAACTATTGGATGGCTGTTTCTTCTCTGTCCGGGACTCTTCAGTGGTAAGCACCGATACTGCGTGGGTTGAACCCAGGGGGTTCTGGTTACAAGGCGAGCTCCTACATGTTGGTTAGTAGTCATGCTATGTCGCGAATTGGCGGAACTTGGAATTCATGGGCCATCGGATTGTGTCCCAGTGGCTTAATGGTTTGTAACCAGGAGGTTCTGGGTTCGAACGCCGGTGGGCACGTGTTGCTGAAGAGTTCAAAACTAGGACGGAACAGCTGTCCAGTACATCCTGCAGGTTTTCCAGTGATTCTGTGACCAGTGTCAGCTCATGGTGAAATCTCCCAATGAATCAGACAAAATCCCTACAAACCAATACTTCTCTTTCAACATACTATTCATTAAGTGATAGGCACGCCAGGTGAGCATCAGAGATACGGCTTTGAATATAATCTGTTCGTTGAAGGCTTTCGGCACAATGGTTAGGACTCTCGCCGACCATGCACATGGTCCGGGGTTCGATCCCCTGCCGGCGCACACCCGATATCTATGGTCGGCCTGAATTTGGGCTACCGATATCCATGCTGAAAATTCCACACTTGTACTGAAAATACGGTGTGGAATCAAGCTGTAAATCAAAATCAAAAATAAAAATAAATAATGGATGCATGATGCCATGCTCAAGGGATAATACTGAGTGGTATCTATTGTGGATTTTGGCTTTTTCTTTTTAATTTCTTAATAATAAGTGTGCTCACAGAGGTCTGTCACTTCTCCTTCTAGATCAATCTCAACTTCGGCGAAATCTAAGCTTGCTTATTTTCCTTGACAAACTACTGTAAATGCCAAACATCATGGTGGTATTATCGTGTTTGTAAAGATAAGTTAACATCAATATCTTAAGCATAAAATGCATGCATTTTCCTCCACTATTTGTGATAACAAAGACATAATGTTCAGTGGTGAAGTGACGAAGAACACAGAGCATTCCATTGAGTTTATAGGGGAAAATAGGGCTTCAAAATTGACCTCGGAAGTTTCAGTAGCTTTGGTTTAATTTTTAAGGGTAGGGTTGCTGGCCTCACCATCAAACTTCCCTCTTTATAGGACCTGCCCCCAGCTAACTAGGGTTTAGGAGTGTTTCGGCCAGGAGTGGAATCCCAACCACGATCGTGGTTGGCAAACATCCTATCACTGAATTACTGACTCACTCAGAAGTTGGTGTACCTGCTATTTTACTAATATGTCATAATTTAAATTATAAAACTTTAAAAGAGAATTTTTAATCTTATTTGTAAGAATTCACATGATGACATATATAAACAGTTGAAAAATGACGATAAATAACTATATACACATAGGTTCTTGTAGATTATAAAATGCGATCAATATTCTTGGGCATAAAAATTATTTATAGTTCAAAATATTACCTCCTTGATATGCTGAATTTCTGTTTTCTGGAAGTCGTCGATGATGTTCAGATTGTGTCTCATAGTCATATGGATATCTTGGCGGTTCATCACATAATGATAAAGCTCGATCTTGATCCCATACATGTGGTTTCAACTGACCACCATAGTATGGAGTTGTTGAACGTTTACTAATATAAAATTGACTCGCTGGATCATCATCATCTGTAACTGTCCCTTGAGAATAAGGTGAAGGTTTTCTTTCAAAATTACTCGGTAATAGTCTTCGTCTAGGCTCTTGATACTGGACTGAACCATCATCAACAACACTGAAATCTTCTCCATCAGAACTACTAAATGAAAGATGATGCAATTGATGATGACGAAGTTGATCACGATATCTTGGTGGTATAGCACCATAACGATAATTTTCCCAATTTGGAATATTTCGTTTTTGTGCTAAACATTGTGAAATAAAATTAGAATAGTCAAATTATATAATTATAAGAAGTTTTTTATCTTCTCAAAAAGCAAATTTAAAGTAAAAAAATTTGAAATTCCGAGATATTTGGTAGTAATTGGCAACCAAAGTGAGCGGTCAATGAAATGATCTTAAGTGACGAATCATACTGTTGTTCTTTCACAAAATGGATGTTGTACTCGAGCTACATCGCCGACTTTACTCTGACTTGGTTTTTGAGTTTTGTGTGGATAATGTTTCAATAGGAAGGATGAAAACTTGTATGTGTAGAGGAACTAAGACAGTGCGGAAACACTCTCAGACTTCTGGTGGATATACATTCAGGCGTTGTAAATGTCATCCCTGGAGGTCTGTAAGAGACGGTTAGTTGTTTATTATACTGATTTTGTAGAAACTTTCTTCTCAAAGTTTAAATTGTAACTAACTAAAATTTTGTTTAAATGTCATAATTGGCTTCTGAAGCGTCTAGTATCTAAATTTTCTGCATTTAAAGGGGTTGGTGCGGTTGTACACGTTGGTGAGACTGTCCTCACCAGACACAAAGACGACCAAGGCGGACAACGAGCTGACTAAGTCTGGGTTTCAAGACTGTATGATACAAGTCTAAGGAATGGCTTCAAAGATGGAGTTCTAAATAGGTTTGCCAGTTTTAATACCAATAAAGAGTACAACAGTCGGTAATCTCAGAGACAAATACTACTGCTGAGTGGAATGCATATTTCTAATCATTGTCATTTAGATATATTCACCATGAAGTGAATCATTCCTCAGATTTTGTTGACCCAAGAAGTGAAACTCATATAGATTCAGTTGAATGATTTTTTTGGGACATTTGAAAACCGACATAAGGATGAAGAATATATTCCGAAAATGCATGAGCTATGGAATCATTCAATAGATTTTAATGTACAGAAACTAGTTTCAGAGGTTACTCACCACTCATGCGAGTAACTACGAGAAATTTTGCAGCTTATAAGAGACCTTTAACTACATTAAACGGTCTCGAACTTGTTATCCGGATGATAAAATCTTTATCATCAGATCTGATAATTATTAGTTTGATTCTTTACTTGATTCTGAGTATGCACTATCACGAAGATTTTGACTGAAGAAAGACAATTCTTCTATACTCCCAAGACTCCAGCTGTGGTAGGAGCTACGCTGAATGAGATGAAGGTTTTCATCTGAGAAAGTATGAGACTGGTCTATCTTTACTGAAATATTTATTGCTTACATCACTTCCACTGCACCGTTTTTAATAAGAACTGTACATATAACAGGGAATGGAACTTGAAATGAAGACATATTGCATTTTATTCTCTCACTGAATATACTTTTATGGTGGCTTGTAAATATTTTCATTCAAACTGGATATCGAAAGGAAATATACATTTTGAATTTACTCACTGCTCACTTTTAAATTTAGCCAAGCGTCATACAAATTTATTCCAAGTTAACCTAAGAATAAGGATATATACTAACTTGTATTGTTCGCCTGGGCTAGTAATCCGGAGATTGTTATTTCAAGGTATACTGATACAAAGATTTTAACTTCATCTTGAATTATTAGCGGCCTGCTTAAATTTGGGCTACCTAAAAATCCCATCGATATTTCACAGATATTTTCTACCATTCAGTTTGTTTAAATCTGATAAAATATGACCTTTAATTACGTTTTATACTCTGGCGAGTATTTAATGTGTTTACATATCTTGCTGATTTGCAAGTTTCTAGTTATCGTGAGAAAAAAACTTCATTGTGGCTTGGGGTTTATTGTGATACTCGAGATGGATGTTCCTGGGTTGTGTCCTTGGTTCACAGAATGGATTCCTGAAACTTTTCTAATTGTCATTCAACCAAATTACATGCATTTACTGAAGAATATAAAGGAGAGACATCATAATTTCTTGGTATGTGCTTCATGTCAGGCAGAAGTGTTTCAAATGATCTACTGTCAAGTGATACTTTATTTGAAGATCCTGGATGAAGAGAAAATATCATGCAATAAACTATGCTGAAAATTTTGTACAGTGTATAAACGATGTACAAAATCAAGCTATTATTATTATTACCATTAATTGCCTGCTAATCTAAAGCTATCCGATGTCATCTAATCCTATAAGTTTATGTTGACGCGTTAAATTTAATATTTAGAAAGAAAACAACTTTCCAAATATAAAAAGAAACAAATTGTACAAGATGGCAATCATTTTGAAAGATTAAATCTAAATTCAACGTTTATTGGAAATAGGAATGTAGATATTGCGTATTTGACGACATTTATTTATCTTGGAAAAAAACAAAACAGAAATGAGTGACAACAGTGACATCATTCTACTTTGTTGATAGCCTTATAAGAAATTTATTCATTACACGGTGATGTAAGTCACGAAATGAATCACCTAAAATGGAAGAGTACAAGATACCTGTTTTTCTTCCATTTGAAAAGTATTTATCCGTTCACATTAGTCGCTCCACGAAGGGACATAGTCATGACCATGTCATGTCTCTCAATAAACAAGTCAAACCTCAGAAGGGACATGAGTTCCTTCAAGGTTGCAGATACACCTTGCTGATGAGTGCCAGCTAGCATGAAACCTAGGTCCAAGGCTTCCTGCCGACTGCCTTCAACTATCTAAACAAGCACATTAACATTTAATGACCGAGTGGTGATTTCATAACCTTCAAATAAGGACTTCTGGAACTCTTAAAAGTGGTACAGCTGTACAGTATTTGATCCTTCACTTGATTTAAATTCTTGGAAAAGCTATTCTTCAATATTCAATAAATATTGATTTTTGTACAAAAATATAATATGTATTATCAAATGAAATGATAACTTACAACTAAAAGAACTCGATGAATAATTTGGTTTTAAATAGGGTGATTGTGAATCAAAGTGTTGATCACTTCTATATCCCATTTCTTGATATCTAGGATAATCATGTGCAGAAGTTCTTCCATAGGATACACTATGTTTTATACTTCCGCCACTTTGACATGGAGAATCTGATGGATCTGAAGTGAAGGAATCTCCGGTATACAGTGTATCAAGGTAGACATTATTTGGCATTCTTGAATCATATGGATATTGTCTTGATACTTCTCTGTAAGGATGAAATTCATCTGAGGCATAATAATCACCGGATGTTCTTCTTGGTCTAACATGACCATACTCACCAGGAGTATGATCGTGTCTAGGATATCTATCTGTGTATCTAAACAAAAAAAGTAAATTGTAAGACAAATGTTTTAAATAAATTGAGGGTTTTTTATAGATGCACAATTGTTCAGAATTCTATCTAGTACTCAAACATGTGAATTATGAAACTTCAGATTTCTTATTTGACTGTAAAATGAACGAAAGTAAAATCTCGGATTTCCTAATGAAAGATGATTTATTCCGAAGAATGGTTTATACAAATGTAGGAAAAATGCAACTCAGAAACATACAATCGTGGAGACATTTGACAGACATTTGTGAAAAGCGGAGTTTAATTAACTCTTGTTTTTATACATTTGATAGATATTAAAGTTAGAAAAACCATTGGAAAACCTACAGGGAGTACTCGACAACTGTTTCGTCCTAGTTTGAGACTTTTCGTCAGCACACATCCACCGGGTTTCGAACTGATGACCTTCTGGGTGGGTGCGTATTGATGAAGAGTCCCAAACTAGGAGGAAACAGTTGTCTAGTACTCCCGGGAGGTTTCCCAATGGTTCTCTAATCAAACAAAATCCCTACAAAATCTATACTTGGAGATATTAAAGTATCTTAAATTCCATTGAACCTGATGTATATAGGTATTGCGTGCCAGCCTGTGATTTTTTTCACAGAATGTAATTTAAGACAAGCAGTTGGCATCATCAAAGTATAAATCACACTGACAAGCCAAAAATTTATTTTATACGAAATATCGGAGACTTTTCATCAAATAAATCATTTCCGTATGTTAACTTGATAGAATTCAAAATGACCGAATCCCTATCGAAAATGAGCATACTAATTATTGCATTTATCTGAGAGTTACCAAATGGCATGAATGTGGCATTTGAAGGCTACCTTCTTACCGACATCCTTAGGAGAAGAATATTTAACTCCCTGAAAATAACATTCTCTGCTGCTACACTGAGATTGGTATTCTCAAGCTGTCCCATGTTCTTTAACGACTTCAAAGATAAACTAATGCATTCGACCACTTCTATTTGTATCTTCCAATTCACTTGTTTGAAGCACAGGACATTATCCCGCTTGGCTAAGAAAAGGTAACAGTGGATTAATAAGGAGTGCTATAACTGTACATCTGTTCAACACTGGTCACTCAATATGTATGGAGAATTTGTTCAGAGTCATCTACAAAGTCAAAAGAAGCCTCCTGAAAACTGTAGACTTCCGAATACTTTGCATCGCCCAAGCCTTAGTGATCCGGATAGAAAATCCAGATTTATGTACACAGAAGAAACTTCTCCATACCTCCTTCCAACTTGGGTATAATTCCAGGTTCCACCGCTTTGTTAATAAGGCTTTTTTGAATGTTTGTATGACATCTTAGCAACATCTTTTTCATAACCAACCCTTTGTTTACCCTTTTCACCTATTACATAAATTTGTTTTAGACACTGGTCTCCATGCTCTTTCATTAACATTCTGTTTTTCTGTGTGTCTTCAATATTACGCAACCCTTTTTCAATACTTACTTAGTCACTATTTGATTATTCATCACATTTTTGAAACATTTTGATAGCGTAAACAATAAGCCTATTTTTTATTTTTGTTTGACAATCCTAATGTACACAGACACAAAATAATTATATATAAATACGGTTGTATAACTAAGTGACTGAATTAGCTAAAAAGAGACTTTTCGTTGAACTTTTTGTGCTAAAATTACAAATACACATATTCCTGAAAACGAAATATTAGAATGTCCTATTTTGTATGTCTTACTATTTTATCACAGAAGTTTGACAACAAGCAAATGCCGAACAATGGAGAGGCAAATTAAATAGAAAAAGAAAGGAATTCAGCAGATATATATATTTTGAGCGGTCCCATTCTCGAAAGCTGCACAGTCACTGGAAACATATCTTTGCTAAACTTCTTATTCCTTTCTCTCAGATGTCTTGATGGGTATTTTATACGATTAGAAAACGAAATGAAACTTGTGTATATTTAACGACAAATAAGAACTCACTAGAAGCATATTCTTTGTGACTTAACTGAAATATCACTACATCTTTGCGTTCATTCAACATCTATCTTAGGCATACAATGTTTTCTAGTGGAATATAGAGCTTCAAACTTTAAACTTTGGAGTTTTAGTAGGATTTGTGTTCTTACGAAGTAATATAGCTAGTCTCACACCCAACCTTCCCTTTTTACCGAGCTTACTAATGTCTAGGTGAGGTTTTATGAGTACGTCGGCTGAGAATCCAAATTAGACTATTTTCATGGTAGACGGGCATTCTACCCTTAAACTACTGAAGTACTATATAAAATACCTATAATGGGTCTCAAACAAAGAAGAAACAACCTTTTGGTACTTTGCAGTTGTTATATTATGTCGTATCATAAGGATAAGCACAATTATGTAACTCTTAAATACGTAGAAAACTATATAGTGAGCCATACTTAACATACTGATTGATCGAGTTTCAACATAGCAATTTACACAGTAGTGCAGCAGTTTAACTTGTCACATTCCATGTAGCAAACAAAGGCAGAGACTTGAAAGAAAGAAAGTAGGAGATTCAAACGAATTGTAATCAGTAGATATGTGGTGGTGGTGGTGACGGGGTGGGGGAGAAAGAATCATAACATGGAAAAACATTAAGGTTCAACTGATTTGGAAGATTACAACGAGGGACAACGATTTTGAGCCAGATCACCAATGGTCTCAAGTCATTGGTTCTTAGCGCACTGAAGACTTGAACCAGGCAGTTTACACCTCCCCAGGTAGCTGGCTCAAACTAACTATCGAAGAATTGATAGAGTGAGGTCAGGTTTTGATTTAACCACTCCCAACTCCTTTTCAACCCATTTCTATCTCTGCTGATACTGCCTATCGAGGAAGGTGGTGGCTCAGCATGCGCAACATATGTTCTAGCCATCTCGATCAATATATATATATATATCAACTAAATTTTATAAATATCGAGTGATTTCAATATTCGAATTGGTTTCAACAGTAGCGGGTCAAAAAGTTAACAATCAAATGCACAGATAATTCCATCTACCAACATGAATAAAAATATATCCCTATTGGTTGGAGGTTATCATCATGAGCTGACACTGGAAAACCTGGGAGTACTGGACAGTTGTTTCGTCCTAGTCTGGTTCTCTAACTGATGTCAGTTCATGATGATTTCCTCCTACCAATCAAACAAAATCCCTACAAACCAATACTTGAAAACTGATCTGATGTTCACTAGCGACTGCCCTTATTCAGGCAATTGCCTGGGGTTGGAGTGGGAAGTTGTGACCAGTAGGGTGCAGAAAATCAAAGGTGAGGACAGTTATTCACCTAAGACACTGCGAAGTGGTCGCACTATATCATGAATTGATAGAAGTTATAATTCATGGGCTGGCCATTGGATCGGGTCGCAGTGTCTCAATGGTCTACGAGCACGCATTGTAGTGAGAAGGTCCTGGATTCGAACCCCGCAGTGTGGGTGAGTATTACTGAAGAGTCCCAAACTAGGACGGAGGAAACAGCTGTCCAGTACGTCCTGCAGGTTTTCCAATGGTTGTCTAACCGATGTCACCTCATGGTGAAATCCTGTAACCAATCAAACAAAATCCCTATTGTGTGTTGGCTTGATCTTCATAAATTCAAGTATATGCCGAAATTTTAGTCTTAAAATTCTTCAGGAGAACTGATATAAAAAGCGGGTAAAATCGTCTCGCCTAACACACTGAATTTAATTACTTAGTATATGTTTTTTCTCTTGACAATAAAATCAAATATGTGACCTTCATTTGTCTCTGCTTTGTACTTTTATTAGTAAATCAATAAATGTTTCTTTTTGCTTTGCTTGTGTGGAAATTAGGTTATCGTTGAACTTGACTCTTTTTTTTATTTCATCTTCTCATACCTTTTTTCTCAGCTTTCTCTTTTCTTCAGAGTTTTTTTGATTTTTTTAAATGATAGATACTCACATATAATAAATACTAAAGGAGGAGAAGGAAAATTTCATCATTATTATTATTTTCTGCATGAATAAACCACATTGTATCTGACTACTGAATAGAATAGAAACAGTAGTATGTAGCTAGGAGTGCATATATAATCTAGTGGATGGTGAATAGCAGTGGAATCCTGGATGCACATTTCGTCCTGTTTTGGACTCGTCGGTTGCATGTGCCTGTATTCCCCAGTGAGTGATTGTGTTCCTACTGAGGCTCGAAGCCACTGTCCATAGTCTGAAACGACAAATCGTTATCTGCTAGACCACTTTGGTCAAGAGAGCGGCCTCTTGTGTAACGGATATCAGTTATTACATAATTCAGTTTAGACTTTCGTATTGATTGGCTGAACCCAAGTGGTCTAGTGGGTAACGCTTTGGGGTTTTAAACAAGGGATAGTGGCTACGAGCCTCAGTAGGAACACCATCACTCACTGGGGAATGCAGGTAGATGAGGCTGATGAATTCCAAGCAGGACAAAATGTGCATCCTGGATTCCACTGTTAGTCACCATCCAGCAGATTTCTTCAGGTTAATTCCTCAGACACTGTTGAAGTATCTACACAAGGAGCCGACAAGTCAGCAGAAGCAGAGCAATTCGGTCCAGTTAACCAACGAAGAAGTTCAAACTGAATAAAATTCATACATAACGATTTGACGCAAAGATATTATTATTTATGCACAGGTTCCTTTTTGAAAATGAGCTGATAAATCGCTGTAGTGAACATGTGTTGTTCAAAGTGTAAACCAGTAAGAAGAATAATATGACACATAAGAGAATTTCTCAGCTTGCTCTCATCTACAGATCATTTGACGGAATTTTGTTCTATCTGGAACATGCTCCGATTCCCGACTTATTTGTCCCTTCATAACACACCGAGTAGTATATTGACAGCCGTTCTAAAATACAAGCGATTAAAGACTGTTATTCATGGAGGTAAATAGGCGGTTAGAACTAAGTATAGCTGAGTACATTTGATGTATTGTGCTGTATAGAAAATTATGTAGCCAAATGATTTAGGTAGCCCGGCGTTGCAAATAGTTGTAAAGAGCTATTTTTATGTTAAACTTTAGGCATGTTGTCTAGTTTATTTATCTGAAAATCTCCCTATTTTCCCGTTTCATGCATATATCCCAGATATATCTGCTTCAACTGTCTGTTACCATTTTTACTTATTGGATGGCGAACTACAGTTAGCCACAAAACGTGTCCTGAGGTTGTTGACAGTTGGCATCAGAATTTAGAGATTATTCTTTTTACTAGAGGAGGAGAGGAAAGGAAAGCTTGTAAACAGTTATAGAGCCAGCTGCAAGTGACTGAAGAAAGCAGAACACAGTGAACATGTGCTTCCGTAGCTCTAATTTCCGCTCTGGACTTATTCGTTTTGTTTTCAAGCAGTTCAATTCAAATAACTATCTGGCGTCCAATAGATATCAATTTTCGGAGACTATGAACAGAATCAAGCGTTATTAATATACCAACATGTCAGAGAAACAGATAGATGACATTAATAAACAACGGTCCAAGTTGCTTTTCGTTTAGTTAGTCCGTCAAGTCAAAACTCTTTACGAATGGAATAAATTAAAAAGTAGTAACAATATTAGAAGTTATAGAAGGTATGAAGGTTGGAACAACAGTAAATAAAAGCCATAAATATACCACACTGAGGCCCAGGTAAGGGGATAAAGTCAGTTCTAGAATATCTGTATTCTGATGAGGACTACACCAACTGAAGAAAATGCATCCTCGTTCAAAACTGCTTTCTAAAATTTGACAAATAATGTGCTACCATACTGGTTTGTTTATTAGACGTATCACACAGTGAAACAGTATTATTTACTGAATGACGTTTCGAACAAAATTTATTGTTCACAGTCATATGAATTATAAACACACGACTTGGAAACTTGAGTTTTATAGTTTTCTTTGTACTCTCCTATTTGTCGTAGGGATAGTAGAACTTTCCGGATTTCCGACTGGACAGGTGTGGAATCATTCCTATTACAAGTATTTGCACTTGATTCAATAAACAAAGCTTCCGTTATAAATCTCTCCCTCCTCCCTCTCACATTAGATTTTAAAACTGTCATCTTATCCCATCCTATTGTAAGATTGTGTGTAATTGCATGTAATGATATTGCTGAACTATTCTCTAGATTTCTAGATCTTATTCAGGTCAACTAATCTGGATTTTGGTAGGTTTTTATGCTCGGTTAGTCTGACTGCCCGTGTTCTACTAGTTCGACCTATGTATTTGACCTGACAATCATTGCAGGGTATTAGATAAACTAAATTGTTTTTTTTATAGGCTCTGCAGGATCCTTTAACCGGCAAAGCTTATTTCTAATTGATTTTGTGGGTGGTTTGAATGCCAGCCACTTTTACTCCTGCATTGTTAAGAATTCTCCGTGAGGTTTCCGAGGATCCTTCTTTGTATGGAAGTACTACTGATGATTTAAATTCCCTATTGTTGGTGTTGTCATTATCCTGCGTATGTTTAAAATGCATGTCGTCATTAATATTATTATTATTACTATTATTATTATCCCTATCACCACTATCATTATTTATTTTATTTTTATAAAAAATGAAAATAATAGGAATGATTCAACTGTCCAGTCGGAAATCTGGAAAATTCGTGTGTTTATAACTGATATGGCTATGAACAATAAATTTTGTGTGAAACGTCATTCAGTAAATAATACCGTTTCACTGTGTGATACACCTAATAAACAAACTAATATGGAATTACTTACTATCACAGTGCCCAAGTTTTACACATTTATTAAATAATGTGCTATTCTTATGCTAAGTTCGAACTGATAATTCAAGACTTTATTGAGTGAGGATACTTTTTTTTTGGTTCTCAGAAGGTCACCTACATCTTCTTACACAAAACAGTTTAGTTTACTAAGAAGACTGGACATCTTAACTTCTGTATAGGTTAAGTAGACAGAAAACAAATTAGTTATCGTATGGTACATGTAACTCTTACAACTCATTTTAGATATTACTCAAAATGGTATATTTAAGATTATAATTTCCTGAAGTTAATACTTATGACTTCTTTAGCAAATACTTTTGAGAAAACAGCTGTTTAGAACATTTATAAAATACATTCATATACAAACTTACGGTCTTTTTTGGTCACCATAGTACCCGGATTGATCTGGGCCAATGTAAGCTGTTTTATCTGCATCCAGACTATTTGATCGCATTGTAGAATAGGGTTTTGGAAGTAGACGTCCTGAACCTGCATTTTGAAGTCTATTTCCACTTGATGCATCTGGAGAGTACGGAAGATTTTGATTTCTGATGTTAACCTGGGGTAATTGCCTGAAGAAAAGTAAATAAAAACCATGTAGATATAAATCAGATCAGGTTAATTAGTTTCTGAGATCCAATCATCGTATCATGAAAGGAAAACCTTAATTTTTTAATTTAATAACAATGATAGACATACTGCTTAAATATGAAACTAAACTAATCATCTCTCACTGAATACCATCAAGGAACATTAGGACTGGAAGTACACCAAAACTGAGAAACAAGGCTTCTCCCCCTACATTCACTCTCACAATTAATTGTCAAGACAATTAGGTAATTGGTGACATTATACAAGACATTCTGTTTCATGATATTCTTCAAACTGTAATTATAATCTTAAATAAATTCATGTTCATAGTAATTCATATTTTTTGAGTTTTCTAGTTCAGAGCATGAAATGGAAATGCATTTGGAGACTGTTAGATCAAATATCTTTGGTGACAGGACTTCATCATGAGCTGGCATCAGTTAGAGAACCATTGAAAAGGCTGTAGGGAGTACTGGACAGCTGTTTCGCTCTTTGCTTGTATGAAAAGTGAAACAAAAAACTGTTTTCATATGAATGCATGGGGATATCTACTAAAAGTGCATGGCATCCAGCTAACAAAAAGTGTTATAAAGCTTCATTGGATCTTCATTCCTGTTAATGACTGGTAAATACATTTATCAGAATTTCCGTTTTCATTCTTTACTTTCCGAGGAAATTTGAAATTACAAGTTTCCCGACCTTTCCTCTTCCTCCACGCTTACTTTAAGCTAATAGCCTAGACGAGATCTAGGAGTATATTGACTAGGAATCGAACCCGGACCACGTGCCTGATTGGCAAGCATTCTATCATTGAATCATTGACACATAAGCACGAATTAGGTGTATGTTTCTATCAGTCACAGTGGTCAATAGTTCTTTGGTGATGTGTCTTGTTTTTGTACTTATACACAGGAAATGAAAATATATCGGTGGAGCATAAAGTCGATAGCATACAATATAACAAATACTACAACAGGATGAACATTTTTTCACTGATAAGCTTCCAAACTGTCTTCTATATCTTAATGTTTTTAATGTACTCTAAAACATCTGTTATTAAGCATCACGAATCTAACATCTAAGTACTCAACGTACAATTATATTACTATCCTTATAACTCTTATTAGTCAGTTATTTTGAAATACAAATTTTTTTTCCTTTGTCAAGTTTATCTCACTCATCTGACTGTCTCAGTTTGTTTGTGACATTCTGAGTCTCAAAAACAGAGCTTTCAGACCCTTGTTCATCAGTGCAATATTCATCGAGGTTGTTCTGCCACAATGTGTCTCATTAAAGTTTGCAACCTACAAAGTATCTATTCTGATTTCAGTTGAAAAAGAGACTAGTTTGGCTCATATAGCTTCTCAGAAACACATTTCTGTTATCCAAACCGTATAACTCTTCCTCATGGTCTGTTTAGTGTTTGTGTAACACAGAGCATTACAGTCAATTCTGCATTTACTTGGTAAATCATTGTTTGTTTATGGGCCTCGATTCAAGGTTATTCAGAGTAAGAGGTAACCAACGGGAAGGAGGTTTCTTTCTGTCATCTATGCCTATATATCAGGTGACTGCAGACCAGATGCAAATACGAATGAGTTTTACTATCAAATGAAAGATTTTGTTAGCCAAACGACAACTATCATAGAATAGATAGAATCTTAAATGCATAGTTGAGTTATTTCGCATCACAAAGAATTATATAGATAGCCATTATTCAGACAATACATTCTTTACTGAGGTTCTGTGCAAACCGTAGTCTGATTTTCGTAACAGTGACTTACTTCAAGATTGTCACCATGAGGTCATTTTGAGCCCTACATCAACCTTTCGAGTCTAGACGCAGAGAAATCGCACTGGAACCAATCAGATAACCAAATATGTGGATATATAACGGGTTGCTATTTTTTCTGAAGTTCTTTCTGGACTATATTCGTGTTTTATGTTTCTCTTGAATTTTAGCGCTTCTCTCAATCATGTTCCCAAACTGGTAAGCTTACTTTATTTAGTCTCACTTCATATTACAACTTAACTAAGTCGAAAGTAATGGCTGTGTCATGATTTGTAGACTTCGTATAACGTATACACATTAGAGAAAAATAGAATAAGCTAAGTGAAATTATCACTTGATCATCCTTTTCTAGGTTATGAAAATAGCCAACCAACCAACAACAACAACAGCAGCAACATCCAGCGTCAATCACCATCAACGGGAGGGATTTGAAAGAGGTTACTTCATTCACTTATCTAGGGAGCATTGTCTCAACTACAGGAGGAACGGACGAGGATGTCAAATTGAGAATCGGAAAGGCGAGAAACACACTCATCAACCTGAAACCAATCTGGAAATCTTCGTCACTCAGCATCAACAACAAAATTCTGATTTTCAATACAAACTTCAAGTCAGTTTTGCTATACGGATCAGAAACTTGGCGGGTCACCAAGAATATTTTTAACAGGCTGCAGACCTTTGTCAACAACTGTCTTCGTTCTATACTGAAGATTAGATGGCCGGAAAGAATCACAAACAAGAAGCTATGGGAACAAACAAAAGAAGAACCAATCGCTCAACAAATATGCAGGAGGAAGTGGAGATGGATTGGACACTCGCTGAGGAGGCTGTTGGGTGACATCGCGCGTCAGGCCCTCGAGTGGAACCCGAAGGGGAAGCGGCGAGTGGGACGTCCAAGGGTGACATGAAGGAGATCGTGTGATGAGGAACTGAAACAGTATGGATTAACATGGATGCAACTGAAAAGTACAGCAGAAGAGAGAAGCAAGTGGAGACGTGTAGCTGAAGCCCAAGGGAACAATAATAACAATAATAATAATATACATCCTTTTCTAGTTATCCTCAGACCGTCCCACAAATTGAGGCTGTTTCACTATTAATGCCTTCATTTATAGCAAAGATAACTTAGTTCTCTACTAAGAAACCTTGCAACTAAGCTTTTCATCCATGCACCCGTCTAACGTTCAACGGATCTTACTTCTCGAATACTTGCTCGAGGGAATCACGACGCCAATATAAGAGTTCTTGTTACATTTACACTTATTTATTTTCTAATATCATTTGAAGTTCACTCCTCTCGAGGTATATTGTTTAAATCCCTTAAAAACCTGATAAATTTCCAATAATTCTATCAATGATTCAAGAATCATTTTAGCCTAAATGATAAAATACAACACACAAATAAGTACTTCAAATGCATTCAATATCGATTGGATGTTTTGGCAGAAGGCCATATGTCTTTTAAAACTATATGTCAACTTTTGACATTTGCTTTAAGTCTAATTTTCCACTTATCCTAGACATACAGCATAAAGAGATATATCCACACATACGCTTTCCTAGGCCTATTGCTGAGTATGCAAGGAATAATAGCGTAGGCGTTTAAATAGAATTATGGTCAAAATCATTCAGGTATTTGCCCACAACTGATCGACCAGTTTCAATGTATCGATCAATAGATGGATAAACTATAAGAAGAGCGTCACATAGACTCACACACACAAGAGTATAGAAACAAACAAAAATAAATGTTTATATGCCGATGAAAATAGATAAACTTGATCAATACCCATGAGGTAATTGAACTGAGTACAGCATAGTTGAGATATATTGTGTGATAGTTAGACAGACAGGCATTTCTGGTTCAGTGATTAGGTCAACTGTTTGGAAAACTATCATCTTAGTGAATTTCCATTAATTGCTAAGTTTCCCAGTGTGATACAATCTTAAATATTACTTTATTTTGTAGTAAAGAGATTATTTCATTGGAGGTATTTTAAACAAACTTTATTGAGAGAGGAAATCCTTTTAATGATTTCCAGATAACTTTATTATATAATCAGTATAGTTAATAATTGCCAAGTAGATATTCACACGGCTGGTTATAGGTACAGCCTGAACGGTCAGCACCAAGGTGGTTACTTATTTAGTACATAAGCTATCCCTATTTCTAATCTTATGAATAGGCGTACTTTCCACATAATGCTACACAAATTTCTTGACAGTAAATAATAATAGAATAGATGGAATACACTGGACAACTGATAAGAAGGCTCTAAAAGATATGCATTTCGCATGTAGCTGATACATGTCTAATGTCACACAAACTCGAAGACTTGCAAGCGAAAACCAAAAAACTGGCTGAAGAGGCAGGGAAAACAGGACTGCAGGTGAACACAGAGAAGACGTAGGTGATGAAGATAACCAACCGACCAACAAGAACAACAGCTAGCACCAATCACCATCAACGGGAGAGATTTAACAGAGGTTGCCTCCTTCACTTATCCGGGAAGCATCGTTTCAACTACAGGCGGAACGTATCAAGATTTCAAAGCAGGCCAGTCAGAATCGGAAAGACACTCCTTCATCAACCTGAAACCAGTTTGGAAATCTTATGCACTCAGTTTAAACCACAAGATTCGCATTTTCGACACCAATGTAGACTCGGTCCTTCTATGCGAGTCAGAAACTTGGCCAACTTGACACGAAAAGGATTTCTAACAGTTTGCAGACTTTCATCAACATCTGCCACCTTCGCTGGCTCCATACCGAAGATTAAATGGCCAGAAAGAATAAGCAACAAGAAACTATGGGAACAAACCAACAAGCAAGAGCCGATTGCTCAACAAATATGTAAGAGAAAATGGAGATGGATGGATCGGGAATACGTTGAGGAGGAGGCCACCCAATGAAATGGTACGCCAGGCAACTGCTCGAGTGGAATCCCAATGGGAAGCGACGAGTGGGTCGTCCGTGCGAGGGTGACGTGGAGGAGATCGTGTGAGGAAGAGATGAGAGAGTTTTGTCAGTCGTGGACCCATCTGAAGAGGACAGCAGAAAACAGAACAAAGTGGAGACGTGTTGTTGAAGCCCTATGTTCCACTCGGAACGCAGCGGAATAATAATAACAAGATGGAATATAGGTTCATAGTTTACTCTTAGATTTTTTGAAACTTTTGAAATATAAAT